TAAGCAGTCAGCAGCCACGGTGCCTGTGCCTCTATAAAAAAGCCCAGATACAGGTAATATGGTCCTTGTGATCTACGTCCACAAACTCAATACTTGAAATGCTAGAGTGCTTTGCGACGCTGCATCAATTTGTGGCTGACTGACAAGCTAGGCGAGGGATAGAGTTCTCACGTAAGATATCCCCTCCACCGACCACGCAATCTTGGTTCTACTTCTGTGAGGTACATGGTAGGCTATACACCCCATAGAAGACACCATCGTCAGTGTTTCATGCATCCTCAGCTCCCCAGTAACGAGCAAGTTCTGTCTCATGCTGCGTAATGATTCCATTCTGATCATGAAACAACCGAATTCTCATGTCAGCATAGTTACGGCGAGCAAGAGCCATCACAATCCCACTGCCGTCTTGGCTTGCAGTAGATGTGACGAGATATCGAGGAGGGGTAGGTAGAGGTATGCAAGCTAGTCTCCTCTCCTAGCCCCCGACCCATCGTGCTGACAAGCTGACAGAAGTAGAAACAAGAATCGACGAAACCGCATCGGAACCCTGTCACCCGCCTGTCCACCCACAGCCCTAACCCACACCAATGCCGGCCTCTGATCCCCGGTGTCAAGCGTAGCTTAAGTTTTCCCCTCTGTCTACATGTACTTTCGAATTGACCCTGGCTTAAGCTGTGAGGTACTTGAAGGGCCTTCCGAGGTGCCAAGTCCGAGGCATCCAATGAGTCACAATGGCTTGTAAGCAGAGATGCTCGCTAAAGCGGGCATCTGAATCCCAGCAGTTTCGGATAGCAACAAGCACAAGTGGTGTAATTGTTTGGAAAAGTCGGTCCTTTCATAGCAGAACATCGACCTGTCTTTGTGTTCTTTGGAATTCTTGGTCCCCAACCCCAGAGCAGTCGTCTTCGAACCCGCAAGACGTCAACAGTTCTGGACGTGCCAAGTCCAAGGCGGCAAAATATCATGACTTCGACTTGCCATCCGTCATGTAGCGCTGAATCAATGTGGAAGATCTGATAACGATGACACTCTTACTTCAATACCATCCATAGTCCAAGGAAACTAGACTTGATAGAACCAATGACACCAACGAGCCCGAATGAAGATATCAGATCTCCTAGCCCACTGGCAGGCAACCTGTAGGATGTACCTTCAGAGAACCCATCCGGCATCCCAGATCTCATAGCTAAAACGAGTGAGCCTGTAAATCCGAAAATCCGGCAGGCAAATGATCAGCACACACTTCTGCCCTAGAGTGACCGCTAAGGTTCACTCGTACCTCTCGTGCCTCTCGGCCCCCTGTTTCCCTCATATCCCCATGATGATGCTGCGTGGCACTTACACCCCTCCATGCCATGCCATGCGCCATGCACTCTACTTCGACACCGAGGTGCGAGGTTCTCAGCAGTAGACACACCTGTGGCGTGAAGGATTATGTTTGGCTCACCCCTCCCCCGAATTCACTCTCTGTCGATGCCACATAGGAGCTGTCGCGCAACTTTTATCTCAGCTGGGTTCGGGAAGTGGACGGGATGGCATAGAACTTAGAAGGGAAAGAGTGTGAGCCTCACACCAACTCTAGTTACCCCCTGTCACGGGCAAAACTCCTTCTCCTGTAGGTGATCGTCGTCTAGGGGTTTGTCCTGTGGAGGTTTTGCAAGTAGAGTATTAGAGGATGCCCACCTCCACGCGGAGAAGCCACCGGTGATCGACTTGCTGAAGTCTTGCAAAACTTGGCAGGCATTGAGGTGTCAGTCTGGCCCTGGGTGATGGATGCACTAGGATTATTCGAGGCAATGCTCAAAACCTAACACAACTACAGTCAAGGTTTCTTTGGTGACAGAGCCAAAAAGGCAACAAACGTCACGCGAGGCTTTCCTCCAAAGCAAGGCCATGCCACCATTTCAAGACCACCACACAGGCGTAAGGCTGTCACCGTCCAAGGTAGTTGGCCTGACTACTCCATGTGTTAGCAGCAAGTGCCGCCCGCGACCCCGGTGGTTGAGTTTGGCTGATCATGTCCGATGAGCGCCAGAGGCTTATAGCCTGGCTGGCACGGTTGCCAAAGACCCATCAAGCCTTCGCTGACGCTCGCCCAGGGCAGATTCTGAATTGTTGAAAAGTTGCGTAGCCATCTCGAGTCGTGAGGGACTTAGAGCTTCGGGCGAGGCATCGCGTCATTGCGTAATTCTGACATGATGACTTCAGCGCCATCCAATATGCCTATCTGGGACGCCTTGAGAAAGGCGCAAATAACTAAGCACTATGTGAACCACAGAACAAGCCCTGTCACTGAAGCTACGAGCATCTCACGCAGCCTGGCCTGTTTGTTTATGTTGCCCTGTGGCTAGCGGAAACTCAGGCCTGTGAGCTAACGACAGATGGCTTCTTCCGACCATGTTGTGGCATACTTACTGTGTCTAAATGGACCTAAAAGAATCCCACCTCTATCGTCGCCAGCAGCGTTGATAGTATGAGCCCACACCCCTTGCCCCTTGCCGATGCCAGCGTGCTTATGCATGTCTGTGACGGCCGCCCGAGGCAGAGAACACTAGGCGACGTTGGTTTGAGCGGCTTTCGGTCCTCCCCGTTTCGTATTGCCCGAATAAGCAAAATGCCCTGGTCCTGTATGTGCTTATTCGCGGCACTTGCCGTTGCGATGCCTTCGCAGGATCCACGTCTCCATGCCCCGACAATTTACGGAAAGATGACTGAAACCTCATAAGCAGGTTGTACCTAGGTAGGTTGTGAAGGACTGATAATGTGGGGGGCTGGAGGTTGTGTAAGCTACGCCCAGCTTGAGAGTCAGAGTTGGCCTCGGAGGAGCCTCATCACACCCTTTAACACTCACAAACTGTTAATTCGCCTGTAGAAATCGAGCTAAACTACGGCTTCTCGAATCATTGAGGAGTAAGTTGAAGAGGGATTTAGCAGACGTATTAACCCGCTAGTTGCGACATGCACCAAGCGTTCGGGAGAGACTTCTAAAACAGGAACTCTTCGCAGCAGTGCTCACCAAGGCGTGTCGATTGATCGCCATCCGATTGACATCGGGTAGCACGCGGATCCAGCAGTCCGTGTCAGCCCTAATCTTCTCTTGGACGGAGACGCATGCCGCGCACCGCATGGTGTTTCTCTGGCCTTATGGACCACGGCGAACGTCTCAACAGCCCACAATCCCAGTCTCCCAGTAGTGTCTCGGGAAGATGCCACCACCAACAACATTTCCTGCAGATTGGGGCGGCCTGTGCCATCCTCGCTTGCTGCCTCATGGAACTTCAGCTGTCTCCTTCACGCCACTCGAGTGCCTTGTCAGGCCTAGTGCTGACATGCGTCACGCTTTATGCTTACGCTGCCGGGCAAAGTTTGCGTGTGTCCCCTCTCCTCGGCCCTCGAACGAATCAGGGCGTATAGAGATTCGCAGTATGCACTGCATTGAGATGGCCAAGAAGAAATCAGCGGAGGATATCTGATCAATTCGTGCTGTTGGCAACATAGAGGGTTCCATCGTCGTGAAGCGGCATCTTCGGTCTTTAGTCGTCCGCGTGATCCTATCGCCGGCTTCCTTCGTCAACCCGACAGCAAGGGCCTAAAAAACGTGTAAAACCCAATCAACCCCGGCTATGAATCCTTCAAGAATCGAGGTTAGCGGGGTAAACCGTATTATCGTAGGTTTTCTCTTTCGGAAGTCCCTAGTCCTTCGGCAAACACCCGCTATGATCATCCGCGCCAAAATAGCAGTCCTGGATCTCTCGAGGAATGCCTGGCCTAGCCGGCCAGTGATAAGTTGTCAGGTTTAATAGTCACACACCCATGATCGCCGGCAAGGATTCTGACGGAACTGTCCTCCACGGCAGCTTGTAGTTCCCCAGCAATCCGACAGCCCACCAGGGCCACTGCAGTCGTCGCAATTGCACAGAGGTAACCAAATCCACACCCTTCTAAGACGTAAATGAGCCAATGAGGAGACGATCTTTAGACAACGATGTCTTGTATCCAGTAGAATGCAACATCGAAGCGTTGTCCGCACGAGAAAGGACAACAGCCGGCGCCGACTCCAGATAGAGCAAGCTAATGCAGCAGACCTGATTGGGACACAAGTTGCTTAAAGATCCTTGTCCTGGTCATGTTGAACTTCTCGACTTGGGGGTATGTACAGGCGGGTATATGACGAGAGGTTAGTCCGGGTGGTGACATCGAGAATCATGTGCTCGGAGTGGGCTGACGGTGGTGATATGGCTGCGACACCGGCGATTATGGATCAGGCAGGTCGCCGGCTTGTACTATGGTCCCGTCTTTCGGGCTTCGGTGGTGAACATTTCTCAACTACCCGGCATGCCTTTCGGGACTGATGGAAATAGGTTTGGTTGCTGAAGACGCTCCCGGTTTCGTTTTGCTATCTCCATTTGTCGCTTCTTTTCGAGTCGCGCTCCGAAAAAGTTCCTGGCACGTGTTAGTTGAAGCCAACTCTACACGTATATCATGAAAACAGGCCATACTTTTGAAGTGCGAACACGCGAGGCTCCTCTTCCGCGGTCGGAGTTTGCGTGTCAGTGCCGTCCTTGGGGCTTGTTAGCTGAGAGTCCAGAAAACTAGCCTTCATATGGGACAAGAAGGCAAGACGCGGAACATCAAACAACTTGCCTTGGCGCTGTCTTCCTTCTTTTCGTCTTCTGTCTTTTTGTCATCCTTGTCTTTCTCCCTGTCCTTCTCCTTCTCCTTCTCCTTCTCCTTCTCCTTCTCCTTCTCCTTCTCCTTCTCCTTCTCCTTCTCCTTCTCCTTCTCCTTCTCCTTCTCCTTCTCCTTCTCCTTCTCCTTCTCCTTCTCCTTCTCCTTGTCCTTGTCTTTCTCCTTTTCTTTCTCTTCTTTTTCCTTCTTCTTCTTTTGTTTGTCCTCGTACTCCTTCTTCACACGCTCAACCTCATCCTCGAGAGCCTTTTTCTTCTTCGCTTCGACGGCCTCTTTGTCGATGATAGGGGAGCAGAAGTTCTTGTCCTTCAAATGGCTGGGACAGACATAGAAGAAATCCTGCAGCTCGAGTTAGTTACGGATGAACGAGAAGAACCTGTTGCGCTTACCTTATTCTCGGGGGCGACAAGGACGCTGCTTGTTGCACGGTAGCAGACATCGCAGCCCTTGGCCGCCGTTTCCGCGACCTTGCGGTGGGTGTAGATGTTGGAGAATGACATGTTGTCGCTCGGGATTGTGTAATCTTCTCGGAGGAATTGAGGTCAGGGCGGTTTTCGGTAGGCTCGGCTAGTCGAAACCGACCCCAAGGGTGAAGCAGGCGTTGGCAAGACTTGAGGTTGAAGGAGTAAAGTCCATGAAGTTATCCAATCTCCGACGAAAGGAAGCCAACGACGGAAATGCGGTGGTGGGGCATCCAGTGGTGAATTACCTAATGTAGGTGCCTTAAGAATGACAGACTGGTGGAAACCGCGGGGTCAAGATTCGCGCCAAATCAGTACCATTGCATTTGGGCACATCCTCCACTGTGACGTCGTGACTTTCAGGGGCCGCCAGAGGCTTCCGGGTCCTCCAAGGATGGTCCAAGCTCCCTTAGCTTGCGATAAGGCGAACGATAAGACAAAGCTGACCTCGCACCTGTGTTTTTTTTTCCTCTACTCCGACTTGAGCTTCCATGATTAATCGTGAACGAGGTCGGCCATGAGCAGATTAAGACTGATGATGAGCGAGTCGACCAAGATATTGCCGAGTTCTTCAACTGCAAGAAGATCGTTGAGATGAGGGCGGCCAAAGGGCGGCACCACTCAGCCTAGCGTTTTGGAGCACAGCCGTACCTAAATGTGATGCCACCCAGGTACCCTAGAGTAGTGCTCCATGCTTATATCACTTTTGTTGGAGAAACATTGGGAAGACCAAACTTATGTCGATTGTCAGAGTAGGCCGTAGAACTGGTAAATGTTGATTCTTCACTTCAGAGGTCACCGCTTTGTCTTCTGAGAACCTTGGAAGACTCGAATGAATCAGTGGCCCGTCACGAAAAAAGCGGCGCCACCCGCCCTGAGTGGTCGCCGTACAAATCTGCCGTAGCCGCCGCCGCATTATGTAAGTCCGTACCGCTGTGCACCAGGAACAGCCGCTTCAGGTACCAGCGGCCAGCTTCAACACGTTACATCCCATAATTTTTATCGACGTCGCGTCGAGAGAGAAAAAACAATCCAGAAGCTTACTTCTACTATAGAGACTCTTTCCACCGTCTAGACTTTTCAGATCAGCCGCCATCTGGTCAATTATATCGATCCATTATTAAGAATACCCCGAAATAAAGAACAGGAAATAAATAATTCACAAAAAATGGTCGCCGGTCTCGACAGCCAGCGGCTGGAGGCCATCTTCCAATCGCGGCCCGACATCTTGCAGGGCATTCAAAAGGCAGCCAGTACGACCATCTATTTCAATTGCGCAAATTTCCTCTCTCCAATTTTCAAATGCTAATCCTCGACTACTTAGACACACCCGATCGAGTCGCATTGTTCAACAACATCGCGAGCTTCGTTCACGAGCAGATCAACGGACCCGAGCCGGCATCAAAACGCAGACGGACAGACGAAGGCCCTACGAGTGGCTTCAAGGCGTCCAATACAAATGGTGCGGCTGCGAGACCTGCACCGAAAACCACAGGAACCGGAAATGCTGCCGATGAAGAGGTTCTACTCGAGATCAAGGAAATTTCCGTCTCCGTGCCCCAGCGCAAGAAGTACGAGCTCTGCTTCACAGCGAACTTCTTATACGCGCGGCTACCGAATACCACTACACCTGTCGAGGGCATCATCTACGCATGGGATGATATTGGTGCGTCTTCAACGGCTTAGGGGCTTCCATATAACGCTTTCCAAGTCAAGCTAACTTGCGCTCCAGAATACCTCTTCTACCTGCCCGTGCCCGAGAAGACCCAGGTGCAGCACAACTACGTTCTCTTCCCCCGTGGAACATGTCTCCCGACGAAAACCTCACCGGAGAAGGAAGCTCTAGTATTCACAGTCCCCGCTACAGCGCCCAAGGCAGGCACCATCGGCGGCCCGAAAGCGAACGCGGCATCAGCAGTCTCCGACACATACCGCGGCCTCTTTGATTGGGCGTTGACGATACATCTCAGCTCCGCCGGCAACCCTGCTGAAATCGTCGCAGCCGATCCCAATATCTTCCACAGTCTCGTCCGCCAGCCGCACAGACCGAGCGAGAAGGCGGTGCACGTCAAGGCCTTCCGCGGCTCCAAGGACGGATACCTCTTCTTCCTTCCCAATGGCATTCTCTACGGTTTCAAAAAGCCTCTAGTCTTTCTGCCCATCGATCGCATTGTGGCCATGAGCTATACGAGCGTTCTGCAGCGCACATTTAACATTGTGGTGGAGGTGTTTACCGAGGGCGATGCTACTGAGGAGATTGAGTTCGGCATGTTGGACCAGGAAGACTACGGTGGCATTGACGAGTCTTATGTTAAGCGTCACGGACTGCAGGATCGCAGCATGGCAGAACAGAGAAAGGCGAAGATGGAGCTTACTGAGAACCTCAAGAAGAAGAGCGCGGACGCCGACGCAGGTGCAAATGGAGAGGCGGATGCCAACGGCATGACGGAGCTCGAAAAGGCCCATCTCGAGGCTGAGCAGGCGCTCCAGGAAGACGAGGACGAGGACGAAGAGGATTACGACCCTGGTAGTGAAGGGGAGAGCGAGGGCTCTGGCTCTAGTGACGATGACGACGACGATGAGGATGACGACGACGATGAAGATGACGATGCTGGGGAAGAAGGCGAAGATGGTGACGAGGAGATGGGCGAGGGCGAGGGTGAAGGCGAGGAAGAGACATGAGATGCTAGGAAGAATGTTCGATCAAGGTGAAGCTTGAGCAGAGACATTGGCTGTTGCAGGCTCTCTCTGTTGCCGCCCATGTTCATGATAGAAGTGTACGATAGAGACGTCGTTCGTGGAATCGTCTCCAGAGCAGAGGCGCCTTCATGCTGGATACCCGAGGGTTCAAGGTGAACCCAGGTGCAAAACAACAATGGTAGAATCCGCATCAGCCTCATAGCCATTGCAATTTCATGGGATCGCCATCTGTGTTTCGTGGCGATATACTTCAGAGAATCTCTGTTTCTCACTCACTGCTTCCATGAAGAAAGGAACGCCAAGGGCCTGTAGGACCAAGTCCTCCCCAAAGGCACGCTTCAGAGTACTTTTCCTCCATCAGCCACCAGAATTACTGGCTTACGTTCTTATGATGTGTCACCAAGATTAGACACGGCAAAGAGAAGCCGTATTCTCCAATCTCCTTCAAAAACAAGCTCTGCAAGACCGGACTCAGCAAACACGGAACCCTAAACCGTCCCATGTCAGCGATACTGACAGCCCCCTTGATAGACATCCAGAACGGTCCATTCAAGTCGAATACTGCCCCGTTACCTCTGGCCCGATATTTCCAAGAGGTGCACACGGCAGGATCCGGAGATTGAAGACGCAGGCACTGAACCTTGATTTGTCGTGTCTTACGAATGCGCATGGTCCGGGGGAGCTTCTGGGATCCTCATGTTCGGGCACGAATTTCCTCTGATGAAAAGGTTCGGATTAAGCTAGGCAGTCTCTAGACTGTGGAAATAGTAACATTATGTTCAAAGAAATATAAAAGCAGGCACTCGGTGCTTGGCTGACCATTCATGTGAGCCTTTCCTTCTCATTCTCTGCACATATTTGTCATTCTTGATACATTCCCATCATGAAGGTTACGATTCTTCACCTGGTATTCCTTCTGACCACCGCGGCAGCCATCGCGATTCCCACTAAGACAGACGTGGCCACAACCTCCGCCCAGACGCCCACCTCAATCAATACTACCAACATTCAGCCGCCGAAAGGGGGCGATCAAGACCATGACCAAGACCCCGAGGAAGGCGACCTTAAACCTTGGGAACGCCGATTCTGTTCCATGAAACACCATCACAAAACAAAATCGGCACATCATAAGATGAAGCATCCCGCACCTCCAGAGGAAAATACAAAAGGCAAAAAGGCGCCAAATTGGCAACGTTGCAAGAAACATCTTGAAAAGCACCTCCCGCCCATGAAGATGGAGTCCCTTAAACGTCTAGCAGAGACGAATGGCACACGCGCATCTACAGCGCAAGGACTGAAGAGCCATAAGGGCCACAAGGGCCATAACGGTAACAAAGATCATGGCTCGTGCTTCAAGAATTGCGTCGGATTCAAAATATCTTTCCTCTCGAAGCTGATACCTGAGGGCATGATGGAACCTATCTGTGAGAGTATTTGTGGATGCAAGGGTTCTGAGCAATGTAGGGGTAAGGACACGGGAGGGAAGGAGACGCCCCCGGAGGAGAGCCCCCCGGAAGAAAGCCCCCCGGAGAAGAGCCCCCAGGAGGAGAACCCCCCGGAGGAGAACCCACCGGAGGAGAACCACCCGGAGGAGAACCTACCTGTTCCGCATCAGGGCATGAACGAGATGCATGGATGGAAGGAATGGATCGCGAAAGAAAAGGAGATCGAGTCAACTAAGAGTGAAGGAGATATTCCCCCTAGATATGTGGGAGAGGTCTCGACAGCATTTGTATGAAGCCCGTAAACAACGCTGCAGTGATTATGCTGTGCTGGAACTTCTACGGCCACATTTGAAGGCGTTTCTGTATCTACTACGTGATACTGTACATAAGTAGACGAGACACAGAGTTGAAGAACGGACCGAAATGTATTCTTTATCTACCTTGGCTTACACTGATCCGACGTCTGAATTCGAGCCCAGCGCAACTGTTGCAACGCGAACATGACACTTGGGGACTCACATCATTTGAGGCAGAACTTTTAGACGACTAGTCTTACCGTATCCATACTTCTCCGTCCATAGTTGGCAGTTCTCAGGGTCGTCACTTTTGTCCAATGGTACAGACTTTAGTGATCGCAAGCCGTCTCGATCACCATGACATTGCGTCGATCGTTTCTCCTAGTGCAACCCTAATATTGGTGACCAATCAGCCTCGTGCGCAGCAGCTCAATATCCGTGGCTCAAGCATATGAAGTCCAGCTCGACTCACAGACATGTGAGATTGGAAAGCCAAGCAAGCCAGGACGAAGGAAGACAAAGCAGCACAAGGGAGATTACGAGGCGTTGTGATTGGTCCCAATCCAAGCGTGGCTGACTATCCTCCCAATCTCCTCGTCAGCGCTAGAGAGCTTCCCGTTGGCAGGTCCAAGCAATTATCGGACGAGTACTTGAGTACAGACGAAATACGGAGCAGGTGAATATGAAGCATTCCGCCGGCGAACCTCCAAAAACTCTCTTCTCTCGGACACAAATTGAGGATTTTGGGTCGTCACGAAGATTGTTTCTGACTGATCTTACAGCAATAACGCGCAACAATGGGCGAACCTACGGCGGAGGATACTCCGGACACCACGACTACATACGATTGCGTGGTAATTGGCGCCGGATACTCCGGTCTCGCGGCGGCACGGCTCCTGAAAGACTCTGGAAAGAAGGTCCTCGTCCTCGAGGCGCGAGATCGCGTCGGTGGACGCGCAAAGACAATACCGCTCGACAATGGCGATTACTGGGATGTCGGGGCATCTTTCATCGGCCACAAACAAGATCTTATGTACGGTCTGGCAAAGGAGTTTGACGTGCCATTATTCAAACCACCCAACCAAGGCAAGATCGTCTTAGCCTACCGCGGCAAGGCACGAAGCTATGGTGGCCTGATCCCGCCGATGAAGCCCTGGGAGGTTTTGGACACCGGTCTCTTCGTCCGCCGATTCGAGAAGTTGTGTGAGACAGTCAACACGGAAAAGCCGTGGCAGACACCCAACGCGGAGGAGCTCGATCGCGTGACGGTGCATGAGTGGTTGAAGAAGCAGGCATGGACGCAGGCTACCATTGACATGGGCAACATGGCATTCGAGGCGACTATCGGGCAGAATACGTCCTGCATCTCGATGCTTCATGCCATGTTCTTCTTCAAGGGCGTGGTCAGTCTCACATCTGGCCTGAGCTGTGAAAATGGAGCGCAGCAACATTTTATCCAAGGGGGAGGGCAAGCCATTGCCGAGAAGCTGAAAGAATACCTCGGAGAAGGGGGGATTCGCTTTGAGGAACCAGTCTGCGCCATCTTGTATAGCGAGAGTCTTGCGACCATCCGGACGGCGAAAGGAACATACCGCTCACGACGAATCATCTCCGCCGTTCCGCCACCACATATCCTCAAGATCGACTTCGAGCCAAGACTACCAGTAGAAAAGACGACACTACTCCAGCACATGCCAATGGGAGCCTACATGAAAGTCTACGCAACCTACAAGACCCCCTTCTGGAGGGAACGAGGCCTGACGGGAGAGAGCACGAACCCGACCGGCTTCCTCAGCGTGACCTACGACGCGACGCCGCAGTCAGGGTGCCCGGCCAAGCTCACGGGATTCATCGCCGGCACTAAAGCGCGGGAGTTCATCAGCTTCAGCAAGGACCAGAAACGGACCGTCGCCCTCGCCGGCTTCGCGTCCGCGTTCGGGCAGGAGGCGCTCGACCCGGAAGAGTTCTTCTTTCACACCATGATGGAGGAGGAATGGGCTTCAGGATGCCCGATGGCGACGCCGGCGCCAGGGATGTGGACTCTATTGGGCGAATGGGTTCGGAAGCCGATTGGGGCTATTCATTGGGCTGGTACGGAGACCTCAACGAAGCATTATGGATACATGGAGGGCGCGGTATTTGCGGGACAGACGGCTGCGAGAGAGGTTTTGGAGGAGCTCAAGTGGAAGATTTGAGGGCGGCGATGCGAGGAAGGCTTTGTTTCTGGTGAATGACCTGACTGGTATTTGCACTTTTGAAGTTTTGTTTGCCGGAGGAGGTTTGATATCACTGTCGTTTGGATTTGGCACTCGATTCCGAGTGCACGACTGCACCTGACCAGTCAAGAAAGACTAACATACCCCTAATTGAACCGAGGTGAATTTGAAACCATGCTCCATCTAAAGTCTAAGGTTGGGTGTGTATGTGAATGCAAGAACTCAAAGGGGTTCAGAGAGACAACGTCACACATCCATCGACACTGTCCTCCTCAAAGATCGAACCGAAAACGATGCCCTCGTTGATCCCAGACTCGTGGAAACCGGACTTGGTCAGATCGCCGGTACCGTTAATCGACTTCTTCAAAACGCCAAAGTGGAACTGTCCCTGTCCTGAGATATCATTCTCGATGGGCTGGCCTTGCGCGACGAGAGGGGCATTTCCTTGGGAGTAGTACACCTGGGTCAAGCTGTGGAACCAGCGTCAGTAAATCTCGTGCAAAGCCCAAGGTAGAAATCTGCACTCACTTCTTGCCGAAGTCCAAAGTCAAGGCAAAGTTGTGGAACACGCCCTCGGTAAACTTGGTCTTGAAAAGTTCCGGCGACGGGTTGGTGTTGGAGTTGCCAAACAGGTGCAGAACATCCGGGTCCGCGGGGTGAATGCCGATGAGATCGCCGTACTTGAGTGCGAACTGGTTCGAGCTGAAGATGGAGCTCTCCAAAAACACCATTTGGTATTCGTGGGTCAAGTTGAGCGGCTTCTTGGGGTCCTTCATCATGCTCCAGTGGACTGTCTTGATCCCGGACGTGGAAGGGTCGGTGCCGTTGTTGCTCATGGGCAGCATCTCTGCGCGGCGGAAGCCCGTTTGCACGTTCGTCTCGGTGGGTGCGAAGATGGATCTATCGTCAATGTTGACTTGGAACGGTCTGTTTCCTGGGCCGTCGAGCTATGGTGAATTCAGTCAACTGGTGTTAGGAAGACAAGGTCATGGTGTGCCTTACCAGCGACGACAAGCCTGTCGGAATAGTGACCACGTCACTGGCCTTCAAACCTTTGCCAAAAACAAAGCCATTGTTGAAGGGACTCGCAGAGGTATCAAAAGTGGCGGGCGTGAAGTTTGACGGGATTCTGCCGTCGAACTGGATAGGGCACTTTGCGGCATCGGCGGCACTAGCCGCGACCATTAGGAGCGCGCCAAGAGAAGTGGAAGAGTAGTGCATGGTGAAAGGAGCGAGTGTCGAAAAAACACTTGTTAAAGAATGAATATTGACTAAAAGCCTTGAACGAATGGAACAGGTTGTTTGTACAGGGCCGAGCAGACTACAGTTTAGGCGGTATGGCGCTTGTAGCCGTATGCGAATCTATAAGTACTTGAGTGTTTAGTATCCCACCGGCCTGAAATATCGCGTAGAGACCTTTTCCATCCATCAATTGGTCTGTACAACACAGCCGTGGCCATGTTGGCATGGGTTAAAGAGATGTACATGCGGGGGGTTGTTGAATGGGCAGGGAGGAGGGTGCTTCATCCGGCTCGGTCTCGCTCTAGGACGAAGTTTCCACCGTTAGTCGTTACCGGAATTTGCGGAGAGTAAGGCGGAAGAAGAGCCTCAGCATGCTGAATTGCGACTCGGTAGTTGCCGGTGGGATGAGTTTCCAATTTGTCTGAGACGCAAATAGAGTTTCTCTCATTCTCGAAGCTTTGGGAACTCCGCCGATCTTGAATCGTGTAAGGGGCAGGATGGAGACGGTTCATCCGTTGTCGGGCAGCCAATCTATCAGGTGGCCTGAAATTAGACTCAATGTTCGGAATTATTTGCGTACTTCTTATTGAAAAGCTGCATCGCGTTGGGCTGAAGCGTGCGTATTTATCGGTCGCTTCCAGCTACTTCGATACAAGCTTAGGGGACTGAAGACGCTCAGTCTCCACGATTAGCCACCTAAATGCGCTCATGAAAGTTAAATTGCTCTCGTGTAACATTTTAGAGTGGAAACGGTAGTCAATGACAAGAAACTTGATGACTTGGCACATGTTTGCTTTCTGATAAAGTAGCGTCATTGGATATTTACATCGAGTGCAACATAAAGCGCCCATCATAGAGTCAGTATATACCACCAGAAGCCTTGTGCTCTCATCTTGTTCAAGATAGCTCATTTTGAGCAAACGGGGCTCCTCCACCTCGTTGTCATATCCCTTTAGGCGAACTGGCAACCCAATTGTTGTGGGGTAGCTGTGACGCCAAGCGTAGCCAGAGTGTTGATAGCGTACTCACAGTGAGCCGGCGAGGTAATGTGAATCGTGTCGTGGAAAAGGTACTTGCGTGCGGCGTAGGCACAGTTGGTTGACTTGTAGTCGGGGTTCGGAGGCCTAGAAGGAGATGAAGCAGTCAGCGTATTTGATCGGAAAACAACCCCGTTGACCAATTTTACGCGCCTTGCGGCAGAGCACCCCGTTACTTACACGACAATGCCAATGGGAAGAGCGTCCGCGCAATAGCCGTTCCGATCAAGGTAGCCAGCGGTGGGACCGGTGTTCAGCGTGCCAGCTTTGATGGATCTCAAGCCCTGGGTGAAGTCGGGTGCAAAGATGGTGATCTGCCCGCGATACGTGTTGTTGTTTCTCAACTCGGTGATGAGATTGTTCACCGCTACACGGTAGTTGTTTGCGAAGTCGGCTACCTTGTCCCTATCTGCACGGGGCAAAACCTGAATCCTGGGGATGAGCTCGGCAGGTAGGACAGAGAGGAACACAAAGTTACGAGCTCCTGCACCGTATATCTAGATCGATAGGTCGGAGTCAGCTTCTGGTCCAGTCGCTATCGTTCTCTTCTACTGTTATGGATGGTGGTCGGGCCAAAGGAGTAAACAAATGCAGTTCTTTACCTGGGCAAACTTGGTACGGATGACTCCGATCAAGTTGTTGATAGTTTGAGCTTGATTAGTAGTGGTGTTGTATGTGCCGAGAATATCATTCCCGGTGTTTGATGCCAGAAAGATGAAGAGAGAATCTCTGGCCGAAGCAGTGCCTGCTGTACGAGCAGCACCGAAAGCGGTGACGATCTCGTTGATTTGATCATTCCAGTTGATGATGGGACTGAACCCGGGAAGAACTTGTGTGGGCACCGCATAGCGAGAGTCAGTCACTGCCCCGGGATAGGCAAACTTGTTAAGGACCACATTGTTCGCCCCGCGTGCGTTAGCGATGTAGTTGATGTGGTTCGGCCCATTCGAGGTCGTGCTGTAGCTCCTTTCATCGCTCTTTGTTAGTTTGGTCGAGAGTTCCTTGAAGAACTAGCGTGGATGACGTACAAAGCACCACTTCCAATGTAGTCGTACGATGCTCCAGCCGTCCAGATGTTGCGGATAGTGTTGAAACCTCCCCAGTTGGCTCCTTGGGCATCGACTGCACCCGCGAGTAACGCAGCACAGAGAGCGAGTGAAGAGTTCCACCTCATGATTATTATAGGTGATTGGGAATTCGATGCCTTTACTTTGGAAGTTGAAGAAAGAAACGACTGCTATTGATAGCGAGCGATTGCGTGAGAATAGACAGGCTACTTGTGAGATGTGTAAGAGACGATGAAGATAATGTGGTTTAGAACAGTATCGTTGTTGTCTGTTATATAACATTTGATCTCGACCGCACTCTGGAATAGCCTTTAACAATGGATAGGTATAGACCGCGATCATCATCACACAGGATCACGTTTTTCTGAGCCTCAAACCTCGTCCTCGGATACGGGTAGGCATGCAAGCCATCCATCGTGTGCTGCATGACGTGTGGGAACACTGGATTACCTAGGTAACAAACCTTGCCGCACTTGCCATACTCTATGAATTGAAATCCGGCATGCACGACTGTTCCTGACTTGCAAAGCCTGTTCGCGCAATACCGTCCGAGTTTTTTAGCTTCCCCCGCGATCCGATGATCGGATGCTGGAGTAAGTCTCTGCTCTAAGGGGCAGCAAGACGCATTGACTATAAATTTAGATAAACTTCGCCTGCCATCCGAAAATCCCAAACGGGATTGTATTTTAGGAGACGATAGGAACCCATATGAGCTCAAATTCGGTGTTGAGGGGCATGGACGTGTTTGTCTTTAACACCGAGCGAAGGAATGGGGCAGGATTTGTGTTCCTACGTGTCACTGACTCCCCTTTCCAGACTTGGGTCGTCGCCTACGCAACGACGAGCGTGCATAGGGGCCAATGCGCCAGGCAGCTTCCGAACTGCAGCACAGCTACCTCACCACTCACAGGTGTCCGGCTTAGGGATATAATCTCGGTTGCATTCGCAAATCAAAATTTGTTCCCGAACATGAAGACGTAGGTTCGGTGAGAAAGTCCCTCTAACTGTTGGCCACCGGGAGTTCCTCTTTCAAAAAGCAACTCAGAATCCCCCATTGTTGACAGCCTGTACTCCCACGAGGTTATATAAACATGTGGGTTTTCGGATTGATCTGGCTAAGATGAGAGACGTGCGGCGAACGATGAGTAGAAGTTCGATGGGAAGGGCGTTGAATTCAGTCAAGATTCCAATTCATAATTGATTAAGCACAAAGGCTATGTTAAGTTCTCCACGGTCTTGTACTTTGGTAATATTCTTCTTGTTCAATTTCAATCATGTCTCGAACTCGCTGAGAAGCAGTGCAAATTGACAGCCTTCCGGCTATGCCCCACAAAGGTTCAAGAACAAAAGGAACTCGAACCATATGTCAAGTTGTAAATAATCAGAATTCTTTCATCATTATTCAGGCGAGTAATACAAGACCAGACTAAATCATCCCTCAATCAAACGCAACAGACTTCTCATTGCAATTGACACAGCCGTCCTACACAACAATCATAGGTGTCGAAGTGTTGATCCATTGACAAATAGCAGCAGCCCAGGTCTGTCCATCTATCATCATCCAACACAGCAACAAGCATTCAGTGTGTGAGGTTAAGCAAATCCGCAAAAGCTGTATTCGCTGCAGCAAAGTAGTCCGTCGCGTCACGGATATGCGACCTTGCGAAAACTACATCCAAGTTCGAAACAAAAATGGAACATAGGCTCACTGGTGCAAAGGCAAAATCACAAGAAGTATTCACGAGACCTACTTCCCGACCCGCTATCCATGCAACGACGCCTCACACTCTGCAGCCTTGGCGCAGTGGTCCTCTCAACCAGCAAGATAACCCCCCGTCCTCTGGCCCACAGCGTTCAGAGCGCCTCAGCGACCTTGGCATCCGACGTGGAACTGTAGTCAAGGCACCTGAGTCCCGGTGCACGAATGAGACCTGCGACGGTCTTTGCTGTTTGAAGTATTTCGAGGCTCTGTCCGAGACACTGGTAGAGGCTGTTGAGCAGTCCCAGACGAAGTACATTGGCCATCAAGTCGATCCCGCCAAGCCCTCTCATAACATCGACATAGCGTTAGGAATATCGGAGGCACGAAAGGAGGTACGTCGACTCTTTCGGCAGTTCAATATGTGGCTTGATGTGCCTTCATTTCGAATTAGGCGCCTTGATATGTAGAGTTTTCCTTCGACGAAGACTCAACACTATAAGGTAGGTGCTAAGATTGTAGGGTACTAACAGGTATTTGAATTGGTTGTCATTTAGAGTTTCATTTGCTTAATTGGTGATAGGTTGATACAGATTACAGAGTATTTGGGTGGCTCATCAAGATGATGGATTTAGGCAGACTAAAATATAGCGAGTAGAAGAAAGCTTACAATTGGGACTAAAGGTAGGTAGTTTCAATAATGCTCAATGTAGTGCGTCGAAACCATCAGATTCTCTTCTCTAGGCAAATTTAGTGGTCCTCTCAACTCTCAGGTCTTCGGGCCACGAATCTCAGAATGAAATATGATGGCCACAATTCACCTTCCTCATGGAGGGAGATAAGCGTGATTGAATGGAATAACCGGTCTATTGGACTGTCAAGAGAGCGATCGAAGACGCCGGTAGGCTGAACAAGTCGTCCAGAACTTCATCTTCTCTAATGTCGCCTTCTGGCTCCCCAGAAGCAGTCTCGAAACTTTGTCCTGCCCACGTCCTATTCGGAACATTTGGTAAGTACTATGCAAAGATGTTACGAAGTGAATTGCTACTTACAATCCAGTGTAGGCAGTCGTTTTTTCTGAGAGCAAGATCTTTACAGAAGCTGATAAATCTGAGCCAAGACCCTTCAGATTGACGGTGATGCTCGGCTTCTCTTGGTCGCCAAGATAAACCTGAGTGTTCAATACAATAATCCTTGCAAGTCGCTTTTGTTCCCATATACCGTACGCCGTAAGAGTAATATTACTGGTAGGTATCTCGGCAACATACGCTTCGCCAGACTTCCCAATGGCTTCGTTGACGATCAAGAGGGCGTGATACGATGGGAGAACATGGGGCCGAGTGATATTGAGACCGTCATCAGAGTTACTTGTCGGCTGTATCGTGTTGTATCTGAAGCCTACCCCGTGATGGAAATGAAGTCTTTGTATCCCGAAAGAGGCGCCGAGTAAGAGCCAGTCAGTGGCCCAGAGTGCACTCTCGACGGTGTTGCTCAGCCCCGGCTGGCCATGGCTATACATACGTCACAAAGTTAGAACATAGCCGACACCATTTCGGTAAAACTGACTTGGCATAAGAGTTGGTCTCGGCCTATCAGGATGTCAGTAAATAGAATGACATGATAGGCGTAGGACGCTCATACCAAGACATAATCTAAACCCACAGATCTCACCGCTTGGATACCAACCATCTTCGAAGTCATGTTGTTGCGTACAAATATCTTATTCATGAGATCGCCAGGATTGGCAACGCGACGTGGGTCAAAGCCCCCAGAGTAGGCATGCTCCGTGAATTGTGTCGTCACATTTCGAATGGTCGGGGTTTCCAGTATTCCCAGCTGCAAGGATCCTGCTGGCGTCCATTCTGGTGAGTTGAATCCAGTGAAGGCTCCAGGGGACAACGTAGGTCTATCTGAGCCCGAGATGCCAAACTCGATCTCTTTTCCCACTGCCTCGGCGTACTGTATCCAAGTATTTGTGTAGTTGGCAACATCCCACTCAATCCCGTAGGGTCCATTGTGTCCTGTTCGGGTCAAGCCATAAAAGTCAGGCTCGTTGCCTAATTCGACGTTGACAAGCTGCACATCCTTGGTCAAGTTAGCCCGGTCTCCTTGGAAAGTCTGGGCTAGCAGCCGGGCTTGAGCGACCGTCTCAGTCTTGTTCAAGGACTTGAGGTTAAGACCCCACATGAAGGGCGTTCCCGCTGGCAGGTTCCCGGATAAGGCGTAGAAGTCTCGGCCGATGAAGATGCGGTCGGCCTCTGGGTTGGGGACGGTCTCGGTCGGTTCCGGGAAGGTTTTGTTCATGACCTCAAGGTTTAGATCTACGGTGGCTCTGTCTTGCGAGTTGGCTCCTACTCGGAGGAAGGGCATGTGCCCAGTACGCTCTCCTAGATTGGAGAGAAGTTGGTTCAAGTACTTGTTTGGCTTGCCGACTTCTTGCCCGGCCCAGTCTGGCCAACGGTCCATCTCTATGCTGAAAGCCGCAAGATGAGGAGAGAGCTTTTCGGCCCATTCTGGTCGGTGGCTTGGCAAATGTAAATTCAAGTTGTATTCGAGGCCGTCGCCCAACGCTCTACCGAGAATGACGAATAGTAATAGTGGTATAGACATATTCGCGCAATCGCCAATGCTGGGCCGAGCAGAAGTTAAGTGAATCGTCGTTCTTTTGAGTAGGCTAGAGAATTACATGAAGGTCTTGCAGCTTAAATACAATTAGGTAGGCGGAATAGTTTGCCGTAGTAGCTAAGCGAATGAAGTATGATGTCGATATTATACTACGCTCCAAGGGGGACCGAGCCCAGCCTGAAGATAGCGGACATTGCAAATAGTAAGCTCAAGGTCGAAAACGCCCTTGTGATAGTCCTCTTGGGTTGTATTTCCACAAATCGCTGGATTTTCGCGACTCTCTCTCTTGCCGATGGACGTTGAAAGGCAAATCAGGGCGACATGGTTCCCTGCAAGAAGTCAAATGTTACTGCAAGTTGCAACACTACTGCACGAGATTAAGCTTGAGCAGCTTGCAGAGAGGGACGCGATTGGTTGGGGTCGTCGTGCTAGCTGATGTATTTGCCGGTGTTTCCGCCGCATACGCGTATATTAACAGCGTATACGATCGAACTCATCAAGTGATCGCGGACAGGGCACCGAGCTGAGGAAAGCTCAGGTGGTAAGCGGCACATGTAGCTAAGTCGACGATCTATCGTATTGTGACTTCGTATCTCGTAAAACATCTACTAGCACGGATCAATTTAAAGCCACCCAGTCTTTGAGTGACCTGTGAAGCTCAGGTGAGCTACGGGAGAGCTCCAGTCTACAATGTTTCGATTCAAAATTTGCCTCGGCAGTGTCTATATATTATACTCTAGAAGCTGTGGACAGTATCGGTATCTGGGCATGTAGGATTAAAGATCCAGTTAACTAGGTACTAGACAGCATTAGTATATGCATACGTTCTTTGATAAAAGGGTGCAGTAAACTGTGTATTAACCCCAAGTCACTTCTCCTACATTCTCTTATAAACAATTCTCATATTCTTTTAGAAGAAACAAAAACTTAGTGACGGACGTACTGCCACCATCTATTGGTTGATATGATAGATCAAGAAATCTCTCTTAGCCCATGGCTTTGTACTAAGGTGGGCTATGCTGCCTACTCTTTGTAGCGATTCACTTGTTCAGAGCTGAGATATTGAAAATGTGAATCACGAATACAAGGAGCTCGGATTATCATGTGTGAACGTAGCCAATCGCGCTCAAACAATGCGCTGCTGGTGGACTTGTTTGGAAAACAATTTCTCTTTGACTCCATTGTGACTGTTTGTACCAGGACACTCGAGACTCAACCACAGGCCTAGCATTCACAAACATCACACCCATACTATCGAGAAGATTTAGGCCAGTCTCGGTATATCTACATTATCTTCTCCTGACGCCTTCTCAGCCCAGAAAACACCAAGCAGCACAAGTAACGTCAACACTACATACCAATCAGAAACCGACAACAAAGGGTTTACAATAGATTCCCCGAATATAAAACTCAAGGTATCCAAAATGTGCATCATCTACTGCTGCACAGAAAAATGCATTCGGTGCAGCCGCCCGATAGACTACTACGAGCGACGATTCCCCTGCACAGAACGCTACTGGTACATTGACGAGATCACTGGTGCCGAGATTCCCACGTGCCCCAACGATCTTAGATGGATTACAGGTATGGAAGGGTGGCAGCCTCATTGCGGTTGGTGCCCGCTTACGACTCTGGAGTTTAACAATCGACCGGCACGACGATAGTTGATGAGGATTGGCGGACCAAGGCGTTAGGCCAGGAGTCTTTATGCACCAGGCTACCTGGACTGAATTTAATGCATGCAACTTGCTTGAAGAGCCCAACTATTCTCTTATTTGTGAGCATTGATGTTTAACCAAGACTGCCTGATGGACTGTCTTGGCCATGTCCTTGTCTTTGTAGGTCAATGGTGTGGCAAAGGGGCAACATTGACTAGCTTACATCAGTTGCATGATGATGAGTCTGTCGTAAGCCTTAGTTCCCATACCCAAGTCCCCGAGTACGAAACTAAATCTAATCTTGGTTTCCGACTTTGATGGCTTCGTTACAAACTTCAATCTCAGAAGATGTTGCGATGGTTGTTCGGCGACCCCCACAGCATCAATTCTAGGCATTTTTAGACAAATAACCCGCAAGAAATCATTCTCAATTCTCGAGGTTCCGGCTCTATACTCTGACCGAACTTGAATGTGCCAATGACTGAGGCTGCTCCTCGGGATGGGCTGCTGACGTGAGGGCTGTGCCTTGCATCTTACATACGTGGCTTGTGTTTCCCGACCTCAGCCAGCTCAGAAATCCATCTCCACATCGTCGCGATTGGCCAGGTCGGAAATCTCACTCGGCCTCTCAAGGAGGGCGTCAAACCTGGAAGCCCAACGTCTTTTAATTCTGTCTCTGGCAGAGATGAACGAGTGACGTTCGACTTGACTCGATTGAAGATGGGATCAAGCCTGAAGTTCGAGGTATGCTTGCAGCGGAATATAGGAGGTTTGTCAACCTTTGCCCCGATTCGTCTGGTCGTGTTCAAGAAGTTCTCGGTCAAGGAAACATGACTGAAGTTTTCATAGACAGCGGCATGGATGTCAATATGATGGCGGACAAGCATTGTTAACTCTCTGATGTTTCCAGAATGGTAAGAGAGTCGGACGTGCCCATTTGCTGAAGCCACGGAGGTGGTCCCCGTCACTGGTGGTGGAGGATCCACCCAAAGAGCCGGCCCCGTGGCGGCATTCTAGATATGAGACCCTAGCAACATACCAGGCAACAGCTTAGAACCCTCTTACGGTCAAACGTATCATCAACGACCTGATTGGAGAGCGAAAGATCAAGCCTCTCAAGTACCCAAGAGATTTTAGCCTGGCCAGAATTGAACCGGTCTCCCGGCGAAGCCCTTCGTCAAACGCTTTTGGTCTTAACAAGAAAGCCCTAGAGAAGGATTGACGCTAATTTCTGACAGGCGCGCCCGCAGGGGATGGCGGATAATCTTGTCGTTCCCTAGATCCACATTAGTATTAGTTTTTGGACCTTTTCCCAGATATGTGTAGCGCGATACGTTGCGAGCTTGCTTATCTGGGTCCCTGGGATGATATGTAAAGACAGCATCCCTCCAGCGAGCTGGGAACGACTGGAACGACTCTCCTGTTAGTCTACTTGACTGTCCCGTTAGGTGGACGTAATTTTTTGACCCAGCTGGGCTCACTAGCATCACTCAACAATCCCAGCCAGCTAAGATGGCAAGTCAAGTTAGCGAAGGGCTCGGGAACGTGGCGGGTAACGGTACAGCCAAGGCAGGAAGCTTCCTCGCTTTCCTAGTCGCAGATGTGCAAAAGTCGACTTCCTCGTACGCTGCGGTGGTGATTCTTCTCGTCTTTGCGATCCTCGTACACAAGTTCTCGTCACCCGAGCTGGACGGCCGCGAGCCGCCGGCGATGAAGCCTCGGATCCCCGTCATCGGGCACTTGATTGGCATGATTCAGTACCAGAGTCGGTACTTCAAGGTCTTGGAGTAGGTCTTTGCTGCATTGGAAAACAGAGAAAGACGTGGACGAGTGCAGTCGTCCTAACGTGCTGACCTTGACAAAGGCGTCGGAATATGGGCATCGCGACGCTGCCTATTTTGAATGGCAAAGTGTACGGTATCTGGGACCCGATCCTGATCCAGGCTGTCTATCGAAACCGGAACCTGTCGTTCGAGCCATTCGCGGTTGAGTTTGCGCAGAGGGAACTGGGCTTCAACAACGAGACGCTTAAGATCATTGAAGGTGGCAGCTTGTTGCCTGAGTTCTTTGAGGGTATCCACGTCGGCATGGCTGCGGATAACCTGCATCGGATGAATGCCACTGCGCTTTCCTATGTGTCTGATGCGCTCGACGACCTTTGTAACGGGAGTGAAGTTTACGAAACGGCCAACTTCTGGCTATGGATGCGGGACTTGATGACTATGGCGACTACGGAAGCATTGTTTGGTCCTGGGAATCCGCTGAGGAAGAATGCAAGTTTGATGAAGGATACCTGGTAAGTAACCCTTCGTACAACCTGCAGCGACCATGGTCTTATACAGGTACAGGATCTTCGAATCGGACCTGCCAGTGTTGATGCTGGGCATCGCGCCATCGATTACAGCGCGCAGATGCTATCAAGCGAGATCACGGCTTCAAGCGGCGCTGGGCGAGTACTACGGAAGGGACAGGGACTCGCACAAGGACACGTCGCAGATTGTTAAGAACCGTGCCAGCGTTTTGCGGGCTCACGGCATCCCGGGCAAAGAAGTCGGAATATTTGAGGTTGCGCTGCTGCACGTAGCCACGTCCAACACTATCCCGACATTATTCTGGTTCATGGTTTACGTTTTCAAGAGTCCCGAGCTGGTAGGCCGTTTGAGGGATGAACTCTTGCCGGTGGCGCAACATGGAGGCAACGGGGAGGTTACCCTTGATATTGGCACCCTCGAAGATCGGTGCCCATTACTTGTGCGCTGCTATCGCGAGGCGGTTCGCATATCTAGCAAGGGAATGGGCAACAGACGCGTGCTGGAGGACACAACAATATCGGACGGCAACGGAAGATCGTACCTCCTCAAGAAGGGTTGCAACGTGCAACTGTCTTCTCAAGTCAGTCACAGCCTGGAGAAGGTGTGGGGGCAGAATAACGAATCTTTTGATCCAGACAGATTCATCGTCAAGACTGGAAAGGAGAACTCTGAGACGGAGAAGTTGAAACGGGCGGCCTATATCCCCTTTGGCGGCGGGAGACACCTGTGTCCTGGACGTAACTTTGCGTTTGCAGAAAACCTCGGTTTCGTGGCTTCGCTGCTGCTTGGATTTGAGGTCGTGCCTCTGGACAGGAGCATGGAGCCGACGGTTGAGGTGCCTGTAGCAGCGGAATGTTCGATGACGGGAGCCGCAGTGAAGCCCGCGAATGATGGCGAGGGCTACGGAGTCCGAGTTCGGAGGAGAGAGGGATGGGAAGGCATGAAATGGCGGTACATTAGCTGAAAGGGCTAGAGTGGATTTCTGGGTACAGTCAACGTTGAACGTAATCGAAGTTTCCCACACGCCGTTGAGTGCATGGCGATGACCTCGTGAAAGTGTCATTCCTTGATTATGCAATGTAGGCGACGTCGTAACTTGTAGGCCCTTCATTTGATCGCCAAGACCTCATGTCCGGAAACCAGGTTTGACTGCCGCCAGCGTGGCACACGAGAATTACCGATTTGGGTGATGAAGCTAGCTCCCTCGGAAATTGGGGTAAGCTGAAGACGATGATGCGAAACCAAGCTTGAGGCGAGACCAGGGTGGAGATGTCATGGCTCATGGACCTTAACTGGAGCAATCTGCCAAGAATTTTGGAGCTGGCGAGCTGGAGCTGGAGCTCCGGGAAGCTCAGCCACACAGCGCACGTGACAGTCATCACCCATTGACGTCATGGCAGCGAGAGCGGGTGTTCCTGCTAAGAACTGACGGAAGGGACGATACTTGGCAAGGTATAGAGCTCTTTCTGCTTCTGCCAGTGCTGTTTATTATCTCTCTTTCCCTACTAGAATAATTAAAATGCTATTCTCTCCATAGTTTGAGTGCACCATATAACCCACCATCCAGAAACAGACGTCGAAATGAGCTACGCGTTCCGTCGCGTATGCCTGCAACTCCCTGCCAGCTTCGGGCCTAAGCATGGTCCTCTACGTCAAGCTTTCCGCCCAGCCGGACCCGGCATTATCACAAGACAGATCCCGGTGAACAGACGCGCGTTTGGGCTCTCCACGAGACGGCAAGGCGACCTCGACGATGCCAAGGCCAAGAAGACCAACCAAGATGACATGAGCAGGGAGGAGGAAAAGGAGAAGCTGGAGCGTGACGAGCAGATCGCTTTGAGAAAACAAGAGGAAAGGCCATGGCACCGCGCTGGAGATGAGGTTGAGCAGCGGGAGTCGTCCAAAGATCCCACAAATGGCGATAAGACCCGCGGTATGCCAGCTCCAACGTTCCCTGCACCCGAGCACACATGCAGCGCACGAATACTCACTGTTTCTCAGGACGACTACTCACAACACCAACGAGGCTCTTGAAGCTCATCTTGCCGTTGCCGTTCCACGCAGAGCAGGCACGAAATATTCAGACTACCAGAGAAGAAAAGGACGACGACGACAGGGATCAGATCGCCCCGCTTGCCCTCCTCGTCCACCCTCAGCAGCCGCTATCTTACCTCGAGAGACTCCTTCAAGCTGAAATTCCACCTATCGATGATGGTCGCCGCGAAAGAATCCCCAAGATATACTTCCGAGCAGAGGCAGATCACCAGGATGGCAAGGATGACAAGAGTGCATCGCAGAAGAAAGAGGGCAACGTCGCCTCTTATTCGGGTCTAGGTCACAAGGGTCCGAAGAAGGATCGCGATGACACGAACTGGGTCAGGTGGAGTAGCAGTACCGAGGTCGGCGACTTCATTCGAGACGCAGCCCGTGGTCGAGAGTTCTCGATTGGCATCGAGGGCTACAAACAGGAGTTACGTGTAGCTGTGCCGAGCTTCAATGACCGCACATACTACATGCGCGTTCGACTACGAAGAATGTCTCGCCGCGTCGAAGAGTTGGCGAAGCTCAAGCAAGAATGCGACACCCTCGCGCACCGTGGAGCGCATCGCATGGCACAGGGAGGATTCGGCCTCCTCGCCGGTTGGTGGGGAATCGTGTACTATGTGACCTTCCACACCGATGCCGGCTGGGACCTCGTCGAGCCGGTGACATACTTGGCTGGCTTGTCGACCATCATGGGTGGTTACCTGTGGTTCTTATACATCAGCAAGGATCTCAGCTACAAGGCGGCCTTGAACATCACCGTCTCCAAGCGACAACAGGCGCTGTACCAGGAGCGCGGCTTCGATCCTTCGGCGTGGGAGGCGCTCGTCCACGAAGCCAACTCGCTGCGTCGTGAGGTCCGCTTCGTGGCGACTGAGTACGATGTCGACTGGGATGAAACAAAGGATCTTGGCGGCGAGGAAGTAATGGAAGTTCTAGACAAAGAGAAGAAGGGGAGACGCAAAAACGACGAAGACGAAGACGATGCAGAAGAGGAGCGAGCAGAGCATAAACGCAAGGACGACAAGAAGAAGGAAGATGATGATAGGACCGAGAACAAGACGGCATCATAGCAAGTTCCTAGAACCTTTCCAAGTGTGATACCCCTGTACAAATATAATTGCCACATTCTAGCATGATTAAAGCAGGCATATTCCAGAGCCTGAAGAGCGCACGAGGCCCTGTAATTGCTCTTGTCGTGACCCTGTGGCTCGGTAATGGCAGTTGGTTGGCCGTTTCGCTGAAGAGGCATGCATGTGCTGATCGTGTGCCTTGCGACCAAGGAAGCATATCGGATGTCAGGAGACTTGTCGCGTGGTGAGGTGGTATTTCTCCAGAGTCAGATCGTGGGGATCGATCACTAGTTGTCTGAGGGAAGATTTTCTCATGCTATTGAGCCCCATTGGGTGACCGGACACCAGCTTCGGTGTGTTCCGGTAAGGCTTGCCGAGACGGGACGGATCGGCTTCACCGAGATGCTCCGCTTTCAACCGCTACGGCCCACCACGTGCCAAATTCCGCGCCCCAGAAGCATGGTGGACGTGCAAGGCCAAGGGAGCGAGGGGGGAGCCCCGAAAGGGAGGGGAGCTCTGACCCCTAGGCGCCCAGACACCACAGAGCCCAACACCATCATCCCCGCTATAGACGCCAACGGGAGAGCTTCACCCCACTTGGTTAACGCATCATCACACCACCGCCCAACCAACAGGTCTCTGTTTGTCAGAATCTCGCAACCTTCCATATGGCCCGTCACTGAATGGCTACTTTGACCTTCGAGAAGGGGGCACTACAATCCATCCCCAGATCTGACGATACCTCTGCATCAACCTGGGGACATCGTGGTCCTCGACCGACGATCAAGTACAAAAGAACGACCGCTCGATATCACTCTGAGAAGCAGATCGACCCCGCCATTCTCCTCTTCCAGGCGTATCCCAAACGTCCACGAACCCAACCCCCGATTGGACAACAAAGACGCCTTCCTCTCTTGTCTCCCGGTATCTGTACTACCTCGCCAGGTCCCTAGGTACCCTGCCTTGCCTTGCGTGCTCGTCCTCCATCTCGTCCCCCTCCCTACACCAGAAGCTGGCTACCTACCAAGGTTTCCGTAGAACCGGTGCGCCAGCTCCACCCCGCGGCCATGGCCCCCCAAATCATCCACCTGCCAGACGGACAAAAGTTCACAGTCACACCAGTCTTTGCAGGCCTCTTCTTCAAATCTCACGATCTCAACACGCACAACAATCCTTTCCCCATCGGCTGGACCATCGTGATCAACACCGAGGATGAGCAACTCGAGGTGGACAATGTCAACGGCCAGCAGGTCGAGGGCGAGGAAGACCGCGACCGCCGGCGACATATACATAGCTTCAAACAGCCAACACTACAGGGTGACAACCTCTTCATCTCGTCGATATCACAGCCTTCGAGCACCGAGTTCAAACCCGCAGCGAGCCCGACCCGTCAAATCGCCATGATGCTCTGGGTCACGCTCTACTGGTATTTCCATCAACCACAACCGTCACCCTACCTCACGACCAATGCATCGAGACTGACGCCGGAAGAAGCGCGGCCCAAGGGCGAGTGGCGCATCAACATCAAGCGAGACGGGGTGCTGCGTGGAAGGAACCTCATACCAAAGCTTGAGCGCATGGGACTGATTGCATCGCTAGACTCGGCGGTGGGAACGAACCTTAAGGATAACGGCGAGGAATGGTCGCAGATGTTTGTCTCACGACGCATGTTTTGGCAGATACCAGGGCGGCTCTTCTTGTTCACCCTGCAGCGCACCAGCGCCGCATCGACGACGGGCCCCGAGTCGCCAAACGGGAGCAGACCGACTTCACCTGCTCGAACTGAGTCGATCCACTCCAGGCATCACACGCCCATACACTCTCCGCATCAGTCCACGGGGGGCCGTTTCGATGTTGACCTCCCTGGAGGACCTCCGCCGATGACCATGGTCACGACCTTGAACTTCCCCATTGGACCGTTCTACTCCAGCTCACATCTCCCAACGTACTACCCGCCGGCGCCTCTGATGTACACAGTCACAAACGGCGTGCGCCATCCCATCCGCCGGAAACCAGGTCGGATGGGAGAAGTGTTTTACTCGCGCTACGTCCCGAGCGTCGGGCAATACTTATCGTTTCGCGTGGCGTCACTTACACCAGAGCCGGTCCCCTACCTGGGACCCCTGGGCCCCAAACCCGTCGAGAATAACCACCTCGCCAGCCTATCCGATACAGACCTGCTGCAGTCATGGCTCGCAAATCCGCGGGTGCAGAAGTTCTGGGGAGACTACTCGCCGGAGTTCTTAAGCAACGCACTTAGCTCCAAGCACTCGTTCCCCGTGATTGGCATGTGGGATGGAGTGCCGTTTGGATATTTCGAGATTTACTGGGTTAAGGAGGATATTCTGGGGCAGAAGCTGGGGAATGATGCCGGAGACTACGACCGCGGCATCCATGTGTTTGTCGGCGAGGAATGGGCGCGGGGACGGGTGCCGGCGTGGTTGACCAGCTTGGTGCACTGGTGTCTTACCGACGACTATCGCACGATGCATGTCTGCTTGGAGCCGCGGATCGACAACGCGAGGTGAGCCCCTATCATCCACTTCCAGTAACATGCCCAAGCTAACCTCAAGTCATAGATTCCTACAACATCTTCAGTACGCGGGCTTCGCCAAGGAACGAGAGGTTGCGTTCCCCCACAAGCAATCCTATTTGATGAAGCTGATTAGGGATGCCTGGGAAGGGCCAGCCCTTTGATGACTTGCGTGGGTCTTTTTCAACCAGATGTACGGGGAAATGTTACAACGCCGTGGCTAAACCACAGAAACCGGCGTTGGCCGCGTTTGAGCGCTTATAAGTGGCAGGGTGCGAATTTGCGAAACCGATGATGTGCCCATCATGGGCGAGTTAGGAGATACCCGATTTCCACCTCCGAATAGAGGCTAGAATAATCGAAAAAAACACGTCGTTATAACACTTCATCTCGTCTTGCATGTGAGGTCGCGACCGACATTCATCAAGCGCTGTTTCTCTCGGGTGAGCAGCCACTTAACGCTACGACGTCACAGCGCAGTGGGTGAGTCGCGTGGCCGAGACGGGGGTTCCCAGTACCTTACACTGAGCACAGTAGCTTATGTGGGTCTCATCCCCTTCGGCTGCCTTATCCCGAGAACGTGGTTGGCTGCACGACACGCGGGCAGCGTACCCCGGTCGAGTGCTGCGCTGAGGCACTGAGACAGCGGTTATCTTGTGACCGATGTCCGACAGTCGAAACCATCAGATGTCAACCGCCCCAAACCTAAACCTCAGAACGACCGTCGTGATAAGACGATTCGAACCCGCCCCTTCTCTCGATGCCGTCTTCTCTCTGGATTCGATAACAGCGCTGTGAGGGAACTATGACTGGCCGATCGCCTTCGTCCTCCGGCCTTTTCCCCATGCCTGGATCACCGTCGTCATCTTGGGCAATGTACCGCGCCCGCTTATCTGCCCTCTTTCGAAATGCTGATACCCAGGTGATCGTGGCCTTTTGGCTGCTCGGTGCGCTTCCCAGCTTCTGTCTGCTCGGTCTGTCTATGTGCTGACATGTACTATAGGTCTCATCAACAACGTCCTCTACGTAATCATCCTCTCCGCCGCCCAAGACCTCGTCGGCTCCAACGTCCCGAAAGGCGTAGTCCTCCTCGCCGACGTCCTCCCCTCCTTCTTCACGAAACTGATCGCACCCTACTTCATCCACCGCGTGCCCTACTCCCTCCGCGTTCTGATCCTGATCGCCCTCTCGTGCTCCGGCATGCTCCTCGTCGCCCTCACGCCGCCCACGAAATCCGTCGCCGTAAAAATGGTCGGCGTCATCATCGCCAGCCTCAGCTCCGGCGGCGGCGAGCTCAGCTTCCTCGGGCTGACGCACTACTACGGCCCCATGAGCCTCGCGGGCTGGGGCAGCGGCACCGGCGCGGCAGGGCTCGTCGGAGCGGGTCTTTACGTGGTGCTCACGGATTGGTGGGGTTTCAGCGTGCGCAACAGCCTGTTGTTCTCTGCGTGCTTGCCGTCCATCATGTTTGTAAGCTTCTTCGTCATACTGCCAAAGGGACCGCTCAAGGCGGGGCAGAAGGAGTACACGGTCGTTCCGGAGCAGGATCTGGAGGACGAGGACGTCGAGGAGCTGTCGCAAAACGCGGCGTCGTCGGCTCTGCTTGCGCCGGGGCCCGCGACTACGTCGACGGCGTATTCGGTGCAGCACGCTGATGCACATAGCTTCGAGCACAACTTGAGGAGGGCGAAGGCGCTCTTCTTCCCGTATATGCTGCCGCTGCTGCTGGTGTACATTGCAGAGTACACCATCAACCAGGGCGTTGCGCCGACGCTGCTCTTCCCGCTGGCGTCATCGCCCTTCAAGCAGTTTCGCGAGTTCTATCCCATGTACGGGTTCCTGTACCAGCTGGGCGTCTTTATTTCGCGGTCCTCGACGCCGTTCTACCGGATTCACCGCCTCTATCTACCTTCGCTGTTGCAGATTGCCAACCTGGTGCTGCTGACGTGCCACGCCCTGTTCGACTTTATCCCTTCGGTGTACGTGGTGTTCTTGATTGTGTTCTGGGAGGGTCTGCTGGGAGGCGCGGTATACGTGAATACCTTTGCGGAGATTATGGAAAAGGTACCGAGCGAAGACAGGGAATTCAGCTTGAGCGCGACGAGTGTGAGCGACAGCGGGGGTATCTGCATTGCCGGGTTTGTCGGCATCGTCATGGAGGTGCAGCTTTGCAACTGGCAGGTTGCGCATGGGCGGGATTGGTGCCGTAAGATCAAGGTTGGATGAGAGGTGACTATCAGGACGGGATGCTATGCTGTGCAGCACCTTGGCAGCGCTTGTGATCAGCGTGGGGGGGCCCGCGACTGGAGAGGGTCCTGGTACGATGTTTCGAGAGGGGTGCCGTTCACGATCCGGCAACGGGCGTTTGGGTTACACGGTGTCGGCGCCGGAGGCTGGCAGGACGGGGCGTTGATTGACGACGCCCAGCGCGGCGTGGCACGACTTTTGTTTCCCCTCGGGGTCAACGGCTTCAAGACCACGGGGTTAATTAAACTGTATTGTCGTACTTGTGGCTCCATTGAAATCACTATGTCGATAACGACGTACTTGGGCCAGCCACAGGATAAACGTTCGGGTGGTCCCTTGTCTCTCTAGACTCGGCAATGCATATCGATTAGAGATATCAAAGACGGGATCAACCAGGGCCCAGGGGCGGTATTGGGTGTGGCAGGGTGGTAAATGAGGCTGTTCCGACGTCAGACATTGTGCCACTTGCAGTGACGGAGTCAAAGGGATCCACAAATACTTTATGGCGCATCGCTTGATTTTCTGGCATGATTTATCCGTCTGGTTCAGAGAACAGCTGATGCAACATGCCATGATGGGTCTCTTTTTTTATCTTATTTTTTTTATTTTTTTTTATTCTTCCTATTGATACCACAATCATCAATGAGATCAATTAGACAACAAATCTGGCTGCTCAAGTCAATCTGAGATTCCAGTTCTAGTGATTTGCTCATTAAAACATGATTCGTGGCGGTTAAAGAGATTTCGTGGGCCAATTGAGCGTTGATACGTTCTCGGGAGGATCCCGGGGCCGGGGGGAGGGCTAACGTTAGGGGACAACGAAGAACGGGATGTTCCAACGGCGTTGCACTGACCGCCGGGCGGCCATTCATTTGCATTGTTTTCATCTTGGCGCGAAAAAAGATGGAAGGAAAAAATTGAGAGAGGTAAAAGCGATTTGATTAGCCTACTAACCTAGACGGACGTATTCCGTACGGCGGTCAGCGGCGAGTGAGCGAGTGGCCAGCGATCAGGTTTTGCACTCCAACCAACCCGAGAAATTTTCACTCACAGTCATTGTTCTTCGGCGTCTTGTTGTAGTAGCTTCTCATTCCAGGTCGTCTCGGGGTCTTAGTCTCGGTGGTAATAGTAACCAACGTTGATTCATGCAGGATATCATACCTGCTACTTGCCTTATCCGCCACTTTTCTCGGTCCATCTACTTAGATTTTCTCCCATTCTAAGGCATGCGGCCACCGGTGTAAGGCAGTCACCACTGGCCCTGTTCCGGTTCATATTCGCCCAGAATTTATTTTCTCTTACACTGAGATTTGAGATCTGGCAGTCTCTTTTGACCAAGATTGCTCGACTCGCCTTACCTGTACGACACGAAACAATTCTCCTTTCACTCACCCCTACTTTTTGAAGGTTGAGCGGTATCATCAGCCCAGATTTTTCAAATAGTCACCGCCTTTGGTTTGGTACTACCTTATTCCACGGGCGCCCTATCTGAATACACAGCTACGAATATCCGAACTTCGAGTCTCATTCACCCAGACCTCCCACCCCATCTCGACCTCGACCTGCCAAGTGGTTCTAGACTACGGATCCAATATCCGTACCCGCGTCGTTCCTTTCCCCCTGCACCTTCCCGCGCCCCTGCCGCAGCTTCCAACTTCCATCCCACCTCGACCTGAGGCTCGGTCTGCAACGCTCGCCCGTTGCCTCATTCGGCTCTAACAACCCAAGGCCTGAGGAAACGGAAAGTGATACCACCACCGCCCAGTCCTCTCCTTCCCCTTGAAAAGTTGACGCACCTCAATCGGACGACTCCTTCCCTTACCTATCTCTGTTTTTTTTTTTTTATCTTCACCTTCTCTAAATCTTTCCAACTATTTTTTCCCTTCACCGCCGAACGGAGCTTCACGATTCTACCCTTCACATACCATACGCCTTGGCAGCTTCGGTACACCTCCATCATGGACGACATAGTCGAACGCAAAGGCATGGCTCACCCGTATCTGCCTCTCGGCAAGTTACACATCTTACCAGAGCCGGAATCCCTCCTCGCAGACCTGGCGAATCTAGATCTCTCAGAGGAGATAAAGCCACCCACATTCCACCTCTTCAAGGACCTCCCCACCGAAATCCGCCTCAAGGTATGGCGTCTCGCAGCACCCAAGCCCGCCGTTGCTGAGCGCATGCCCAACAACTTGACCATGTCCTATGGTCTCCAGCGTCCTGTCCCAGCGCTCCTGCAGGTTTGCCAGGAATCTCGCACTGAGATGCTCTACGACCCTGAGAACCCGCGTGGTTTGAGAGATGACCAGTATGAGATGATGTATCTCTCGCCTGGACACCGAGCGCAGGGTAAGGGCGTGTATATGAATTATCGTGATGATACGCTGTTCATGTACAGAGGTCAGTCTCATTCAGTTTACCCTTTCAAATAACGAAGTACCTTACTTTCTTTGCCGTGCTTTTCGCACCTTCCAAAGAAAGAGAAAAATCACAAAATAATAACACACTCACAGGTCCCTCTCAATCAATCATGCCCTCTGCACACTGCTTCGCTAACCTTCGCCACCTGGCCATGGAATGGGGCCTCCGCCCCTGCTGGGTGCAGAGCCACTGCAACGAGGGCGTCCGTCTCCTTCGGCAGTTCCCCAGCCTCAAGACGTTCACGCTCCTCGTCAGCTTCAAGATCTACAATGAGCTGCCCTTGGGAGAGTCTGGCAGCAAGCACCGCGAGCAGACGCAGAAGCGTCGGGCTCTCAATGAGATCAAGACTTGGGTTCTGGACGCTATTGACCAGGCTTTAGAGCGAGACGATAGTGCTTTCGCTGCTGCCGTTGCCAGGGCTGGTGCCAACAACAACACCAATGTCGACGTCGCCTCTGGCTCTTCATCTCAGTCTGCGTCCACATCTATGGCTGCGTCTTTGGCTTCGTCTGCATTTACCAACCAATGGTCTCCGCCCGAGGTCAGAGTCGTCCCGAAGACAAAGTACTGGACCATGCCGGCGTGGGCCTAGAACTCCCCGCATGGTGTGACTCGCCAGTACATTGTTGGGATCATAGTGAAGGGTTCTCGGACGCATGGTCAGAGAAAGCGGGATGGGTACTACTACGGGCACCTTTATCAGGTCTATACCGGGAATCGCCATGCGCACCTTCACTGAGGTCCACCAGTCGGCCGTACTTGGGAGCCGGCGAGTATTAGGTGCGGATGCTGCGGATAGAGGAGAGAGTGGATGAGGGGATTCACGGCACATTGAGACTCATGTAAAGGAACATGATGGTTCTTTCAGCAGCATGGCATTGGGGAGGGCTGCGGCATCAATGGGCCTTGGCAAAGGGCCATGGCTTTTGTTTCTGGGTTAAAAAGGGCATGATCGCGACGGGGCGTTAACTTTTGATTTTCTTTGATACCAACCGATAGATAAATCGATGACACCACACCTCTCAGTTCCTACCTCTAAGGTGGATTGATGATATTGATACCATATCCTCCATATAGTTATAATTCTGATCGCCAGCTCATTCCAATTGCATTGAGGCGTCCGAAATTGAGAGCATCGTAAAGGTGATGGTGAGAGCCTCAAGACGGGATGCGACGTTGCTGTACAAGGTCATTCAGGGGCAGCGGCCTATCGGAGGAGGCCTCGCTGCAGCGCTGTGAGTGTGGCGCCCAGCCAACTCGCTCAGGGGAGTTGGGTGACCCCCACGCCAGTAATACCAGCAACACGACTGATGATTAGGTAGGCTAGGGGTATCTTGGCATCCGCGGCGTGTTCGTTCCGACTTCTCACCGTATCTCGGATGAGTATCTATCTCTCGAGATGGGATGGAGGCTTGGAGCGGCTGCCGGCGTGTCTCGCCATCTCCGAGACTCAGGTACCCGTACCTCGGCGCGGTGTCTCGTGCGAGCGTGAGGGCGCGATAGGGACTGCTGTTCGGGAATACGATGGGTGCTTCGCAGGACGGGGGCGAGCTCGGTCGGAGGTTGTGGTGTAAAGTCGGAGCTCTGCTTGTTGGTTCCGACTTGGGGGATGCGCGTCGGGGTTTGTTGGGTGATGTTCTAGGCTTGTTTCATGGAGAATTAGAGTATTTCGTTTCGAGTATTGTATCTGTAGGTTTTGTTGGATTTACTTAGGTATATTTGGACAGGCAAGGTGAAGGCTCGGTGAAGAAGTGCTTGAGGGTGGTTCCCGTCCGTGGGCCGTCGCGCAGTGAGCTGTCGTGTTAGTGGCAAGCAAGTGCTGTTGATGCCTTTTCTTCCAGACACGCAAGGCATTCACCAGGATGTCTATGGTATTGTATTCATCATTTCCATCCTGCTAATTCTCATTCTTGGGCTAATTGAGTTATCGACTTGTTCATTAGGGTGTAAATACATTTATGTGTCGGGAATCCTTTAGCGACTGTAAAGCTCAGTGGCCCCATAAAGTTTACAGCGAGCAGAGGACTAGCTAGTATTTATTACAGGGAGTATGAGTGAGCTCTTATGGCAAGCCGGGACGTCTCTCCATTTTTCAGACGAACAATTCGAATTGTTCTAGAAGGCTTCCACAAATGTTCTTGGCAAAATCCTCCAATCAATGAGTGACTGCTAAAGATTTGGGGAGAGAAAAGAGAGGAGGTGATGCACCTATGACGCACCTGCCCTCAGCGCTCTCTTTCCCCGGACTCGCTCAAGCGTCTTGGTGTCGTCACCATCCGATTACAGCAGAGCCTCAGCTTTCAACATCATCTGACTTGTAACACTGAAATCGTCCACGACACACAAGCCCTGTAAAGAACCCATCGTCGATAAGTGAGGTTTACAAGAAGAAATTCGACCCAAAGCGACTGGGATCATCAAGTCAACATTCTCAGCTATCCCGTATACCCGCCCCCATAATTAACGCCGAAATGATCCCCGCAAGATCCCTCTCCCTCCGCCGCCTCGCCGTCGCGCGACCCCTCCCCAGCCCCGGAGCCACGACGGCGCCCTTCGCAGCGGCGCGCCGGAGCCAGGTCCGGTGGAGCACGCATAACCCCAAAGAGGGCGACCTCGGTGGGCCCGGCGGGCAGGAACCTGTGCCGTCGACCAGCGGTGCCGCGCAGAGCTGGTGAGTTATCTGTCTCCGTCTCATGTGACAAGATTTTCAAAGGAATCCTTATGGTTATGCCTGGGCCATGCCCGTGAGTCCGTTGTTAACGTATGCTGGGGGATTAGGCCGACGTTGGTTGCAATCGCTGCTGTGGGACTTGGTGTTGGGGGGTATCTTGTTCATATGACGGGCAAGTCCAAGGGGCAGGGGACGGTGATGGAGAAGGGGGAGTTTGATAAGTTGGCCGAGAGGGCTGCGTCGAGGAAGTAGATGTTGCTGGGTTGAAGCTTGGGGAAGGGCTGGGGCTTTCGGGCCGAATCTGCAAGGACGCTGTGTAAATTTGAGGTTGCAAATGAATTGAAAGCTCTAAACTCTTCAGGTGGTTCTTTGCAGCAAAGGCAAACGCTCATTTGAGTGTTGAAATGGTCAACTTGATGCAAGTCGCTGGCGGTGATGCTCAGTTTCAACTACTGCAATACGAACATCAAGAAGATGTATCTTTTTATGTAATTTCTAATTAGTCACAGTTATCACAACATTCTCTGCAGGAAAACACACGAAGAGGGAGACGACTTGAGAACCATTCACGTTGGCCCAACGTCGCCTTCATTGATCCGTCATGGGTATCTCCATCTTTCAACCTTGATCTGTTATTGGATGCCTGGCAACTCTGCACTCCTCAAGACAGCCTTGAAACAGAAAAGGTACGGCTTCAACAACTCGATGAGTTTCTCATCTGCTATCAGAGCGCAATTCGGAATTCAGCAGGTTGCTCTTCAAGTTTTCACACAAACTGAGCAATCTTCAAACCCTTTTGCCTCTGAACTGAAGGCTTGTGACTTCACAAGAGTTTCTTCACAACGTTCACGGATTTCATTCGCTTCAGCTACTTGGATTTGTTGCAGGTAGGGATGCAACGAACGGGATTGGGAGCCGGTCTTCCATAGCGAGTGCTGAAAATGCCCGTTTTAGACTCAAGAGGGTCGACATAACGATAGATCCCTCCTATCCACAAGTCTTACTCACCAAAGATCATGCAGATGGCCAATCTCGGGACTGGGCTCCACCTTGACTTTTGCCAGGAACTTTATAGACGCCATCGCCGAGTGGCTCTTACTAGTTACCTGTGTGTTTCAAGACATACGATGTCGCACATATTACGTAGAAACCATATCTCACCGAGTGGTGGTCGGAAAGTGCACATTCCGGATTTCCTGACTTCGAATTTTCCTAGTTTCCTCAGACAAAAAGGTCTGTAGCGGAACAGAGTCAGAGGAGATCAGGGATAGTGTGTACAGCACTCAATCAGAAAGAAGATCAATCAGTGAACGAGTGTCAAATCGGAATTAAGAACAACAGGGGCACGTTCGCAGATTTATGTAGTCATCCCAAATGAGGAATCCGAAATCGCTTGGAAAAGGAAGATTCTACGAGTCCTCGTCCTAACCAGATCTACCGAGCTTAATGCCAGCGGCATAAACCAGGCATGTTCGTCTCAAGTTCACTGCTAGAAGTTTCCTTGGTTGTTTGGACAAGGGTTCGTTCTTTCTCGCTGTCAGTGGAGCATCCGATGCTTATTGTTTTCTTACTTAAGCGGCAAATCGTCCAGACCCAGACGAGAAACCCACCTCAAAAAGTTGTTTTCGGCCCTTTGTTCGTTCGCCAACTCAGAATGCGAGCATGACACACATGGGGCTCAGGTCCCCTTAATTCCCTTGATTGCTTAGAAAGCGGTAGCATAAACCCGTTTGTCGTTTGTTCTTTGAGATTCATGCCCACCTTCTGTACTTGTATTTCCGTAAACCCGTGATTTCATTAGATTGAGCATCTAGAATGTTGGTGAGGTCCACCTATGCCAGATCCTTTCTACTTGGCGAGTGCGCTTGGCACTTGAGCTTAAAGTTTAGCCCTCATACATGGTGCACCGCGCAACCTTTGAGATCTACCGAGCCGACGTCTAGAATAGCACAGAGGTGCATTGAAAGGCCTCCTTTGCGCAAGGTTGCAATCGTTTTCGGGGCATGACGTATGCCACACCTTTCCATAGTTCTCGTCCTCAACTTTGGACGACAACGGTTGCTAAGTTCGTCGCGGGGGCATGATTCAACGTCCGCCACCCTGTAGGGCACTCTCTTCTGTCCTCAGCCCTCATTGGCTTTACCGGGCTATGCTGGCAAGGTATGAGTAGGAGCCCCTGCAGGGTCCCGCCGATCTACGCAGATATTTCCGCAGGGACGGGTTCCAGTCTCCAGATCCCAGGAACGTTAGGCTTTCTGATGGTTGATAAGCATCTCGCGCCGCCAACTACCGGTGGATCGGTCCGATCAGATATGCCCTCATTGCTCTCAGCGGTTGTCGACGACCAATGGCGTCCAGAACCGCTGGGCCCCAATTGTAACTCGGCTTCTGCGGCTACGCCGTACTCCACCCTCCCGAGCCTTGAGTAAGTTTGCCCGTATGGATTGCACTGACGAAATAGGAGGGAGGATACAACTCTTCGGTCAGCCCTCGGAGTGTTACTGCAAAATCCGGTTTAACGGGGATAGTAGCTGTTTGGATCCGCGCGGGTGACGTGATTGAGGGATTTGAGGAGCTCGGATTTGGCGGCGATGTTGTTGAATTTTCTCTTTCGGTGTTCGTTGATATAAACATAAGCCTCCGACTTCGAAGCTATTGTTTGATCACCATTCCAGTGGACTTGTATACATTCTCTTGCCGCACTTACACTCATTCCAGACCTTGGCAGTACACACACAACCATGCGGAGCTTCCTCACCACATCTACCCTCCTCTCTGGAGCCGCGGCCTTGGCCGTCCGCTGCAACAACGCGTCCAGCAATGGATACGACTACATCGTCGTTGGAGGCGGTACCAGCGGTCTGGCGGTTGCCAACCGTCTATCAGAGAACCCTGCCGTATCCGTCCTGATCATTGAGGCCGGCGGCTCAGTCTTTGACAACGTCAACGTCACCAACCCTAACGGATACGGTCTTGCCTTTGGTACCGACATCGACTTCGCCTTCCAGACGACCAACCAGACCTTCGGTGATGGATCGGTCCAGACCATGCGTGCTGCCAAGGCTTTGGGGGGAACCAGCACTATCAACGGTTTGTGGTGATCATCGATTAAAAGAAGACTGGACTTAGATGCTAACAGCCTGAAGGACTGGCCTACACCCGCGCCGAAGCCTCTCAGATCGACGCATGGGAGCAACTCGGAAATGAGGGCTGGAACTGGGACGCTCTTTTCCCCTACTACCTCAAGAGCGAGCACTTCCAGACCCCGGAGTCCGCCCGCCAGGTCGCCGGCCGTCTCGAGTATGAGACCAACGTCCACGGTGAAGACGGACCCCTCCTGACCGGCTGGACCTACGGCCAGACGAATGGAACCATGCCTGCCGTCCTGAACTCGACATTCCAGAACCTTGGTCTTCCCTGGAACGAGGACGTCAACGGCGGAAACATGGTTGGCTTCTCCGTCTTCCCCCGCACCGTCGACCAGGCAAACGCCGTCCGCGAGGATGCTGCCCGTGCCTACTACTACCCCTACCAGAACCGCACCAACCTCAAGGTCCTGCTGAACACGAGCGCCCAGAAGCTCACTTGGAAGAACACTACTCTCCCTACCGCCGACGGCGTCGAGATCGTTTCCGCCGATGGATCCAGCAGCGTCGTCAAGGCTAACAAGGAGGTTATCCTCTCCGCCGGTGCCCTCGTCTCCCCTCTGCTCCTCGAACTCTCTGGTGTCGGCAGTGCCAACGTCCTCAAGCAACACGGCATCAAGACCGTCGTCAACCTCCCCACCGTCGGCGAGAACCTCCAGGACCAGATGAACAATGGTCTCTCCTTCGACATGAAGAACATGAGCATCGACGGCACACTCACCACTGTCGCCTACCCCACCGTCGCCCACGTCTTCGACGACGCCGAGGGCGTCGCCGCCCAGATTAAGGAGGCCCTCCCCGCCTACGCCGCAAAGGTCGCCTCCATCAATGGCAACGTCACCCGCGCCTCGGACCTCTTGGAGTTCTTTCAGCTGCAGTGGTCTCTCATCTTCGAGTCCCAGATCCCCATCGCCGAGGTCCTCGTCAACGCTGGCTCCGGATCCTGGAGCAGTGAGTACTGGGGCCTCCTCCCCTTCGCCCGCGGCAGCGTTCACATTGGCAGCAACTCCACCTCCCGCGCCGTCATCAACCCCAACTATTTCATGCTGGACTGGGATCTGCTCGAACAGGTCGAGATTGCAAAGTACATTCGCAAGCTGTACAGCACCGCGCCCTTCTCTACCTACGCTGGAACCGAGACCCGTCCCGGCGCGGACGTCGTTGCTGCTGATGCGGATGATGTCGAGGGCTGGGAGAGCTACATCAAGGGCAACTACCGCTCCAACTTCCACCCCGTCGGCACCGCTGCCATGATGCCCCGCGAGAAGGGTGGTGTTGTCGACGCTAGCCTCAAGGTCTATGGTACCGCCAACGTCCGCGTTGTTGACGCCTCCGTCTTGCCCTTCCAGGTGTGCGGTCACCTTGTCAGCACCTTGTACGCTGTTGCCGAGAGAGCAGCGGATCTCATTGCCAAGAGCTCGTAGAAAGGTACTTACCTCGTGTTCTTAGAACGACTTCGTAACATGTCGCCCTTCTTCCACATTTCTCAGTAAATATTTCAAGCACAATTACATGTTCATATCCATAGAGTAGAGTATATAATCGTCACGCGACTTAGTCAATCGAATTTACATTTCGAGTTTAGATCAAGTTCAGCGTTCGAATTGGAATCGACCTCGTAGCCGCTGAGCCCTCGCGGGCTATCAAAATTGCTTGTGCAGAGCGCTTAAGAAACGGTATAGACAATATTCTCCCCACTGATGGGGCGCATCTGGTCTTTCGACGGGTCGTTGACTTACTTCGATCCAAAGAGTGGGATGCCTTCTGCCCCGATGTTCTAAAGTCCTCCTGGCATCAGACGAACCGGGTTTGCCTGCAACTTGACTTTTTCTTAGGAAGCTTCTGATCCGAGATAGTCGTAAAACCGTGTTACAAACTCACGGGCTCCAGGGTTGGCTGGGAATGTGACGCCTGTACAAAACGGTCAGTAGAGGAACCTTCCATTTCAAAGGATACTGTGACCGCTCACCTTGATATTGGATTTCTACACCAAGACCCTCCCAGACCGCACCTGTGACCGCCTTGACCCTGAGTTTCGATGGATCGAACCCTGCGAGAGCGGATGCTCTGAAAACTGCCAACTTCCCCTCGGCGACCAACGTATCATGCACATGTTCGACGGACGGAGACTGCGAGACCGCGTCTATGCCGTAGTGGACTCCGCCAGTTGCGCCACAGACCTGACGTACCTTTATTTGCCAGTCAGAGTCTCTGTAGTCAACTAACTCATTGTATGAGTAAGGAGCTTGGCGCAGCATGTCATGCTTTGCCCTGCTGGCGGCACCGATGAGACGGATCCTCGTCCCTGAAATTCTCTCAGCCAGGCGCACGAGCTGTGTGGCAAATAGGCCCAGTGAGGTTGTTGCCCCGCAAACTAACACGTTCACGGGCTCCCCTTCGTCGAGTTTGAGGTGGTTAATATTCTGAGACTCGATAAATGGCCCTGGGAGTTCAAGTCGACGAAAGACACCCTGAGTAGCTGTAAGTCCACACAGACTAACGGTGGCTGCCTCTTGGAGTGGCACTCTTCTAGGAATATTCTATGTGAGGTCGTGATCAATGACGAGGTACTCGGCAAAGGCTCCTGGGCGGTTGTTAACCGAACACGCTACATATATTCATACTTGGCACCTTGCTCATCTGACCCAGGACCATGCACTGCTTTACTTACCGCCTTGAACGAATCCAGCTACATGAGCTCCGACCTTGACTCGAGGGTCGTTGATGTTTTGGATGTCTTTGCCAACACTGGCGACCTCTCCAGCGAAGCCGCTACCGATCACACAATACTCCTGCGCCACAATTATGTTGTATGTATAGAGAGCGTCCACATGATTAAGCGCAACTGCTCTCACACGGAAGAGGATTTCTCTTGGACCTGGCTGCGGAATCGGATTATCTTGTACAAAAACGGAATTATCCTTTGACATTAAAGTCAAGGCTTTCGTTGTAGTATCGGCAATGGAACTTGAGTCTCAATTTTGGGATCAAATGGGCGTGAGAAACGACTGAAGTTCATACAAGATTTCTCCCAGGGAGAGAGTACTAGAACCTATAGATGACCGATGCAGGTGCTTTCAGGTTGAACGATAAAAGCCCCAATCCTCGCAATCAAGTACTTTGCTTTCAAATTCCATCTAGTGACGTTGCGAAAACGAGAAGGTCCGTGTACTATTATCATGTGTAAGTAAACCCCGGTCTTCAAGACTCAAGCGGACTGGTCTCTAAACTTAAGTCCGACCTTGTTTCCCACACATCAAGCCTTACCTGAGTCATTCATATGAAAGCCAGTGATTTGTAGATTGATGATTTTGGGAACCTTGAGAGGTTTCCCAGGACATCACTGTTCAATCGCGTGCAGGTAAGTAGCAACTTCAGGACCGAACAGGCGATCTTGAACAAGGTAGCCCGCTGCCTCAACCAACCAATATTGGCAGTTCTCGAGGGTGACCTGTTTGCCAGACGCATCCTTTCCATCTCTGTTAGTAAAGCATTATAAAGGCAAAGCAGGAATACACGTTCGCAAAAAGGCACCTCAAATGACCTGCCTGAAGGGCAATCATACAACCACGAGGCGGTCTATGCAGAAGAATCACAGTCGTTCAGAGAAGTCAAGTGAAAGTCTCACCTTATCACCGGGCGCATTCAAAGTCTTTCCAGGAGCCTTCGCCTGGTATGCACTGGCCTCAAAACCACAGACAGGCCTCTCATCGATCTTTTCCACTCCCCAGTTGAGCATCACGCCTTCGTCAAAGTGCTTGGCATCAACCCATTGAAGTGGAGCCCTTTTGTTTGGAATGTCGGGAGTACTTGCGAGGTCATGACTGCGTTTGACCTCGAATTTGAAGCCATTACGAACGTCGCCGGTCGCGTGAATCTTGACACCGATGCCATCCTCAGTGTGAGAGCGCACCAAATACGCCCAGTGGTCTTTGAAAGGTGAGCCATTATAGATCATCAATTTAACCAAAAGGCTCCAGGAGGTCCCTTCGAGGGTACGGTTGGCGGCGTTGGGTCCGGAGGTGGGGTGGGGGCCCTCTGGACAAGCGGCGGCGGTGGGGGTGGCGGAACACCGCCGGTAGGGAGAGACATCTTGGATAACTCTCGGAGGTTTACTTTGTCGTCTCTATTGGTATCGCTCTGTAAAGCAACGAAGGCAATGTGATAGTTCTTGATTCTCTTGAGGACCGGTATTTACAATCAGGCAGCAGCTGCAAGCGCTGCAGCCCCGCAAGTAATGTCTCAAGGCCCCTTTGTTGCGGGGAGATTACTTGGTATCATGAAATGGAGCAATTTGTGCACTCGAAGCTTGAAATATTGAATCCATGAATCTACTATTTTCTGAGGATATCCAAAACAACGCTCGCTATACAAAATATGACATATTAAGATATTGATATTTTCCCTTGAAACATAAAACTGTAATAGTTGAGGCCATCAACCTATTGGGCCGCTGTTTCCTTTCCCTTGGACTCCTTCTTGGGCTTTGACGAGCCGGAGTTCCACTTCTTGACACGGACGAGGTAGTAGGAAATAACAGCAATGAAGATGTTGAAGAAAATGAAAGCCCAGACGATGCCAAAGTTGCGCCAGCGCTCATCGTAGAAGATGTTGCTGCCGGCCAAGTACTGGTCGGCATTGCTGAGAGAGCAGTATCTGCAAGCCTCAGTGGCATCGGGGTTCTGAAGCTGGCCGGGGGCGAGCTTGAGGTAGTCTGCCAGGTACTCGCCGCACGTCTGGTTGGCAGGCGGGTTGAAGACGGAGGTCTCGTCGGCGGAGCAAGTGACGGGTCGGCCGGACAGCTGGGTACTGACGATACCGGCAACCCAGTATGTGAAGGGGGACACGCGGTACATGAAGATCCAGAAGCCGGGGAGAGCAGTAGGGGATTGCAAGACACCGCAGAAGGTCAAACTCATGAGGACCAGGAGAGTGACGACACCTGAGGCGGTCTGGGCGTCGGGGAAAGCGGCGATGGTCATTTGGGAGAAAGAGGACGCGTAGATCAGAAGCTGGATGGCGTAGAGCATGACCAAGGCCTGGCGGACAGAGCCCTGAATGCCAATGATGGGGTAGTAGAAGCAAGCCCAGATGAGGATGCCGGTGATGATTTGGTAAGGGATTTCAACGATGATGTTGGCGAACATGAAAGCCTTCCATGAGTAAGCCTTGCTGGGACGTTCACGAACCTCGTAGAGGGCACGCTGTGTGACGAAATGAGGCTGGATCTGCTCAACCATGACGGAGAAGATGGTGATGACCATGAAGACACCGAAAACAACGTTTTGCATGCCAGCCATGGTATCATCAGCCTTCCAGAACGAGAAACCGATGAAGAGACCTGCGCAAATACCGAGGAAGAACTTGGCGAAGACATAGTTGGGCATGCGCCAGTACTGCTGGAAGACACGACCAGTAACCTCCATGAGCTGAGTGCTGAAGGGCATGGCGAACTCAGAGTGGGTACCAGCATCTTCGCTGCCGGCGACATCCTCGTGCTGCTTCTCGAGGTGAATTCTCTCGATCTCAGCCTCGACACCACGGCGTTCGTTGCTAGACTTCCAGACGCTGTGCCAGTCTTCGCCCCTAGAGTTGGTACCGTTGTTGACAATCTCGAGCATGTACTCAGCGGGGTTCTCCTCATCGCCACATCTGCGAGCACCGTTGCCCTCGAAGTAGTTGAGAAGGGTGCGGGAGTTGTCGCCGATATCGCCAAAGTAGACGATCTTACCGCCGCGAGCGAGGAAGAGAAGGCGGTCGAACTGCTGGAAGAGGATAGCGCTGGGCTGATGGACGGTGCAGAGAACAGCTTGGCCGGAATCAGACAGCTTGCGGAGGAAAGCGCAAATGGCCCATGAGCTCTGAGAGTCGAGACCACTGGTAGGCTCGTCAAGGAAGAGAAGAAGTTTGGGCTTGGCTGCCAATTCGACGCCAATAGTGAGAAGCTTGCGCTGTTCGACGTTCAAACCCTCGCCGGGAATACCGACAACAGCATCGGCAAAGTCGCGCATGTTGAGCATGTCAATGACCTCCTCGACGAAAGCGAATTTCTCTTCCTTGGATACAGTCTTGGGCTGACGGAGCATGGCGCTGAAGCGCAAGCTCTCGCGGACGGTAGCGGTAGCTAAATGGAGATCTGGACAATGTTAGACAAGTGATCAAGTTCAACTGTTAGTGAAGAGAAATTACTTACCCTGCTGCTGAACGTAGCCAGTCTTGCGTTGGAAACTGGCGTCGAGGGGCTTGCCGTTGACAAACATGTCGCCAGTGATGACACCCATGGTAGTTCGCTGAGCCAAGACATCGAGAAGAGTCGTTTTTCCGGCGCCGGAGACACCCATGAGGGCAGTAAGCGTTCCAGGCTTCACCCAGCCATCGACGTGGTCAAGCAGACGGCGAGGCTCATCCTTGATCTCAATATCGTAGACAACGTCTTTCCAAGTGAAGATATCCTTCTGGGGCGGGATAGAGTTAACGTTAGGCTCAGCCTCCTGGTCCTTGGAGACGGCCATCTCCTCGTTGGTGACGCTGCGGTTGACTCCATCCTGAAGATGAGCGGGGACACGGCCGCGCTGGAAGACAAGGACCTCGGCCGTGCTGGTGGTGGAGGAGTTGAGCTCGGTAGCGACGAAGTAGATGATCATGAAGAAGAAGAGGAAGGCCAGCAGGATACCAAAGTTGCGCCAGACGTGAGAGTAGTAGTACTGGTAGTTGGTCTCGATGAAAGCATCGCCGCTAACAGTGCGCTGACCAGCGACAGAACCGACAGCCGAGCAGATCCAAGAGTCGCCGATCAGGGGGGTGTACGCCGGGATGATCTCGGAGCAGACGAACTCGCGACCGTGGAACTCGTTGGCGATGAGGATCTCGAAGGCATAGAATATAGGGTTAATGAAGCGGATCCAACCGAACCAGTCAACCATCTGGGGAACTCTGATGACGAAGCCAGTGTAGATGACAAGCGCCAAGACGAGCACACCAGCCAACATCATAGCCTGAGAGATGGTCTTGGTGATAGCTGCCATAGTTCTGAAGACGGCGCTCATGACAAAGGTGGAGATGTAGGTGATCAGGAAGTACAGGAAGAATTGACCAGGTTCCCGACGAAGACCAGCGAGGAAGTACAGGATGAGGTTGAAACAGGTTGCCGTGACGAACTTGATCGGGATATCTGCGACGATACCAGCGATGGCTTCCGCTGATGGATGGTAGAAGGCGTAAGAGGCATGTTTTTCGACAATTGGCCGCTGGTCGTAAAGATTGTTGATTTCAGAAATGGCAGTGAGAGCGTTCATGAGAATAGCCTGGAACAGGACTGAACCCTTGGAGTAGAAACCGGAAGTAGCGTCAGGAGTGCCGTAGAAGACCGAACCAATGATGAGAGCCAAGATGGTGTTGAGAATAGCTATTGTAGCTGTTGCCGAGATGTCGTTCCATATTCGCTGGTACGCGCGTTTCGTAGTAAGTCGCACTTGCATCGCCAAGCTAATGAGGTAGGGAGACTTGGGACGGACGTGCTTCGCTTGCCTGTCGTTTTTCTGCTGGCGGAGCTCAGTAAGAGCATGGCCGTTAGGGTCGATCGGGTTCTCGTCAGTATGCTGCTCAATCTCCTGGCGGAGAGCTTGGTACTCGGGAGATGCGCGCCAGTATGCCTCGAAGTCCTCGGGAGTTCTGGGGACCTGGCTCTCCATTCCCGGACGAGCCTTGCGCTCGATGGGGTTTGTGACCGAGGTCAAGAAGTCTCCCGTGGTCTGGCGCTGGGGGCAATCCCAGCCCATGCGCTCAAAGTAAGACTTGGCAGCGGCAGCAGGGCCAAAGAAGATCTGGCGACCCTCGTAATGGACGACAGCCTTGTCGAAGAGGTCATAGATGCCCTGACTGGCCTGGTAGATGGCAACAGCGTTGGCACTGCCGGTGAAGTCGGAGGCAAGGCGCAGTGACTTAACGAACTTCAGAGCGGTCGCGGAATCCAAGCCGCGAGTGCTGTTATCCCAAGCGCACATGGGAGAGCCAGCAAGCATCATCTCAGCTATGGAGACACGCTTTCTTTCACCGCCAGACACACCTTTGAAGAGTTAGTCGAAATTGTCTCTCAGAATTATGAAAGGTTTGAGTTACTTACCACGGACGAAGTCATTTCCGACCTTTGTGTTGTAGGTGTGGCTAAGACCGCAGACGGCCATGACCACCTGAGCCCCCTTCTTGTGAGCTTCCTCACGACTCAGGCCCATAGGTCTGTTGGATGGTGTGCGAACGGCGCCGGCGAACTCGAGTGTTTGACCGACGGTAAGATGGGGGAAATGCTTGTCAACCTGGATTACACGTTGTTAGTCGTAATCAAACAAAATATTGGTACATGGAAACGAACCTCTTGGTTGTAAACGGTTTCTCCCTTGAACTCCTTCATCATCTTCTTTTGCGGAATGCCGTTGTAGTGGATGACAGACTCATCTCCAATGCTCAGGCCCTGGAGTTTACCAGTCATCGTCTTCAGGAGAGTACTGCATCCAGAACCAGGGCGACCAAGAACGATCAAAAGCTCGCCGCTCTTGAGCAGGCCATCGAAGCTATTGAGAATTCTCTTGGGCTCCTTCTTTCCGAAGCTAATGTGCTCCCCGATTCTGAGAGGTGCTTGGAGGAAGTCGCCAACGGTCTGTTGCAGCTGCAAAGCAGCGCCGGTACCAGAAACATTGAGGTCCTTGTAGGCGACACCAGCATGCTTAAGAGTGATGCCCTCGTTTTTCATAGCTCGCATGAAGGCCTGAAGCCATTTTGAAAGATCGAATGACTTGCTAGAAGGGTCCAGGGCGGGATCATCTTGGGCGTAAGAGATGTGTGTCGAAAGGGGACGGCCGTTGCTGGCCAAACTTTGATGCCGCGAAAGATTTGTTGCGATTCTCTGAAGTTCCCTCCTGTCCTCCTCGTCGATCATCATCGTGTCGCGGTGGGCATCTCTCGTAGGGCTGGACACGTCTCCATTTTCTTCGTCGGATGAATCGCCATTCTTTCCCGTGTTGATGGGAGCAAAGCCACCGGTGGGCTGCTCGGATGAGGCTCGTTGTTCTCCGTGCATCGTGACTGAAGAGGTAGTTGTACCGTAGCTACCTCTTGTTGCTGTTCTGTCCTCCATGGCTGTGAATGTGTTGGCCAGGGGCGAAGCTCAGGTGAGCTGAAATTAAGGTTGTTGATAATAGTCGTAGAGGCAATGCGTTGATGGTAATGAGACGGTGTTAAAGGATGTTGCAGTTTTTAAGATGCTCACAGACACTTTAGAATATTCGATAGAGATTGAAAACGGAATTGGGATGTATGGGTTTCGGATGACATTATTATATCGAGATCCATGGTGGAAGCAGATTGAGGGTATACGCATGCGGACATGGCCAACCCCCGGGGCCACCGAGCTAGAGCCGTGATCCTGCCAAGCCAACTGGGCTCTGAGTTTGTTGTGTGACTCTGGAGACGGCCGAGACCAAGTGTGCGGAGTTCGCAGTGCTCCCGCCTACCGGCCGGCCGGTGGCTATGAGGTCACCCCTTGCTAGACATGAAGGCACTCTCCCGGGTGAGTACTCTAACCCCGAACTCTGGTGCACGAGATATGTAAGCTAGGGGAGAGGAAGATTGTTTCTAGCGCACGGCATGCGTGCTGGCTTTCCGAGTTCCCACCAGCATGGATAGCGGACCGGGCGGGTTGTTGGCTGTCACCACAGTCCGTCCCCGACTCGGGGACTTGGAGTGACCCGAGAGGCTCGACAACTCTTCAAACTCGGGCGCAAGAGCCACGCTGCGGCCCTAGAGACGAGTCAGTATTGGGCTTTGCTAAGCTTGCTAAACCGTTTACGGCCAAAATGTGGGCTGAGGGCAGTCGAGGCACCCTGCTGTTTTCCGATTGCATCATGGTGGCTCATTCTGTAGCGTTGGCCCACCCGTACATCTCTGCGTTGCTCGTAAATCTGGCGTCACATTGGGATGGGGCATCCGGTAGACATACGGGAGATTTACGCTGGGCAGGGCTGCGGCTGCTCATAGCGCACCGAATGAAGCTTACGCAGTAACGCGGTGCGGACACGCATCACACCAACCGAGCTCCCGTCCCCGAGGCACCGACAAATGTCAGCCAGTAGGGATATTGTGTCGGAGTTTGTAGATTGTGGATTGTTGATTGATAAAGACAACAAATTTCCCCCTTACTTCCAGAAGATGCTTATCGTTTCTCTCGCTATGATGCGGAGTTTAGGTTTTCACAACCCCAGGTAATAGTTGTACAATTTGACGTGAGCAGCGAGGTAGATTTCTCAGTCGAGCTAAACAAAATTGCGAGTCCGTCTCCTCCAATGGACGTCACTTTGCAGCTGCCGGAGTTTGGCGCATTAGGCTCAGATGTTAGACCTATCGATGTGAGATTCACGTTCAGACGGAACTACGAGTATCGACTAGCGAAAGAAGGCATTATTTAGCGTCATTGAGTGTTTCCACGCGTGGTGGGCGAAACATTCATAATTCTCAACTCTTGTCATTCAACCCCTTTTTAATCCTTTCCCACATTCTCGGGTCCCGGGGTCCTGCAATCGGCTGAAATATCAGACCGCTGAGTCAGGCCTTGCATTGCAGGTCGACTCGCAGCCAGCGCGCTGTGCGACGCAGATCGTCCCTCCCGAGCGACCGAGAAATTCCTAGAAGCTCCCCGCCGCATAAGCTTCGACTAGAGCGGAAGTCCAGAACCCCTTTCTGCAGCGGCGACGTGGTTTTTTCTTCATACTTCGGTAAGCATTAAGATGGCATCTCTTGGCAAGAAAAGTCCGCTGGCAAGTAGAGTTTCCGCTGCGTCACTCGAAACTCTGTTGCCCGTCACGCAAAGCGAGAAGCTTCTGCTGTGGAGGAACGGGGAGAGTTACCGGTACTCATCGCCCCGTTACCCCATTGCCCCGGTAGTTCCCTCAATTCGCTTTTCTCGGTTTCCTATTTACTCCTTTTTGACACCCACTTTGCCGATCTTCCTAAGACCCCAAACTGCCACAAACAAGGTTGCACCGTACAGCGCGAAGCAGTACCAGAACGACGCCCGGTAACCCTCCAACAACGCCATTGGGCTCTCCTTGTCGGCGAAGTTCGACCGGGCGGTCACAGCACTTGCTATGGCGCCCGATGAAGCCAGCCCTACGCTTTTGCCGATTTGGGCAATGGCGTTATAAACACCTCCGGCCACGGCCTGCTTCTTCGCCGGAAACAGCGATGTGATCAGCAGATTAGAGATTGTGAACAACGTGTCAGCGCCAATAGCGTTCATAAACATTGCCCAGAAGATGCAGACCCAATAGGACCACGCGGGGTTGGAGATCGCCATCAATAGCGGCGACAAACACGCCAGGGCGACGGCGATGAGAATCGCTAGGTCTGCCCGGACGCGGTGTACCACGAGACCGGCGACGATGTTGGCCAGGACTCCGCCAACAGGGGCCGGCAGGAAGCGCACCGATGTGTCGATTGCGGAGAGCCGTTGGACATACTGGAAGTAAAAGGAGCTGAGCTGCTCAGTCGCGTTGAAGGCACCCCATACCATGAAGACGCTGATGCAGATGCAGGTGAAGCTGCGGTTCTTCCAGAGTGAGTTTGGAATAATGGCTGGTTTACCCAGGCGCTCCTGTCTCTCGACCCAAGCAACGAATGCGCCTATCAGCACACCAGAGATGGCGAGCAGAGCGATGTTTTCTGGTTTCTTAATGTCCTGGGTGCTGTCGGTGATCGCACTGTCTTTATCACGTTAGCTATGTCTCGGTCGCTCTCAAGTAACAGTGGGCGCATCTCGGACTCACGCAAGCACATAAGAGACCATTGAGAGGAAGGCACTGGCCAGGAATGCTCCAACCCAGTCTACCTCGGTCCTGAACCGGTGCCAAGTGACCGGATCTCTCTTGCCGATGCTGGGCAGCCACTTCAGCGCAATCAGGAAGATGACTGTGTTGGTGATTGCAGCAATATGGAATCCCCATCTCCAACCAATCGTATCTGTGAACACACCACCAACACTGAGGCCAACAGAGAACCCAATAGGTTGACCTCCGCCCATGGACGCAAAGGCAATGTTTCTTCTCTTACCTGTGGGGAACGCGTGCGTGATGATACTTACGGCAGAGGGGAGACACATTGAGATGGCAATTCCGGCAAAAGCACGGAACATGATTAGCTGAATTCCCGTATTCGCCAGCCCACAGGCAAGGGTGAAGACTGATTGCAAAAAACATCCCATGAGATAAAGGGTTCGAGCACCGTAGAGGTCGGCCATTGCCCCGGATAGCAGGAGAGTGCATCCGCAGGTCAGAGCGTAGACAGAGGCAGGCCTTAATATTATTAGAATGCTTGTACGGCCACAGAGGGGTTTCAGCACCGATTCCTACCATAAGAGAAGATTGCCATCAAGCTTAACATCTCGAGCCATCGCTGGAATGCAAACAGTGACTATGCCGGCCAGAAGGGAGCTAATGCCTGTAATACAGGTCACTGATGAGATGACAACCAGGGTTTTACCCTTCGAAAGGTCGCCATGTTGACCAGGCTCGGGAATAACAATAGTCTGGTTCGGCGACTGCGATATTATTGACGTAGAAGCTGAGAGTTGTGGCAGTGATGTTGCCGGTGCGTTGACCAGCTCCACTGTGGTTGTGGTAGACATCGTGGGTTTCTAGTTTGGTGGTTGATGTTTTAGGAGGTGAAACACCAAGCAAGCGGACCGCATCTTTCACTTATTCCCTCGTGGACTGGACATAACAGCGGGGATGCTGTCAACTCGGAGGGAGTATAGGGCGCAAAAGACGCATTTTCATTATTCATGGCCCAAATTTTTTACCAATCTGCCCGATCTCGGCCGAAGTGGACGGACCACCGAGTTGGCCCATTTCGGGGGGTTAAAATTGACGCTGTTGGAGGTTTGCTGAGTCGCAATGACTAATGCCCACAGTCGAAATAATCATCAAGTTAGATTAGCATTTCGGTTGGTGTTCACGGAGTAATAGAGCGTAGAGATACCCGAGTCTTGCTCGGAATACAGCCCTTTCAAAGACGGTCAACTCGGTTTAGGAGTCTATTAGATGTGACTTGAATAGCATCGCCTGCAACAACGAACGCCACTGTGTTATTAAAATACTGAAGAGAAAAACAACCTAGCCCTCATGGCCAATCACCATGAATCTAGCTCCAGAAGTAGCAACAGTCTTGAGTCTTGCCAGCTTTCCTTAGCACACTTTCCCACGATCGGAGATTCTCGCAAGCATTTCAACATTCGAAGACTTAAACTCGAAATTCCGGATGAGCTGATAAAACCCCAAAGTTAGCACCAGTAGCTTCATTGTGTTGTTGATTCTTACTAGATTGCTCACCTGGACAAAGATTTTGTTCATTTCCAAAAACGCAACAGACTTGCCTGTGCACCGCCATCGGCCAGCGCCAAACACAAGCTCAGTCTGCGACTTCCACGACTTTACCGTCTCCGCGTCAGCTTCTAGCCATCTCTCAGGCCGGAACACCTCAGCGTCTTGACCGAAGACTCTCTTATCGTGGGTCACCGACACTACGTCGTGCCCGATTCTCGTGCCTGCAGGTAGCGTCATTCCATTATAGATGTCACCCTCGGGCCCAACCTGTTTCATCACCAAGCCTGGAAACGGGGGCCTCACACGGAGGGACTCGTATATGACCGCCTATTTCGAGCATGATTAGTAAATAGCGTTCAATCGGATTAAGCAGAGCGGCCGTCTATCCTCTTTGGTGACTTACTTGAAGATATGGCAGTTGCTGGGCTTCTTGATATGTGATGGGATCTGATATTCTTCCTTCGAGCATGGCATCATCAATCTCTTTCACCAGAGACTCATACACAGAGATATTTGAGAGAATATAATGCATTGTCCATTTGATGGCCTTTGCTGCTGTGTCGGAACCAGCGACCATTGGAAACATTATCTCGGACTGCGCTGAGCGCTGATCAAGACCGCGACGTATGAATGATCCCTATTAAGTTTCCGTTAGCGGAAGGCTGAAGATCTTTGTGGGCTTATCGTGATAGCTGATAACTTACGAGTAAGTCAGGCTCATCTTTCCCATCAGGACCGAATCGGGCGGCAACGTGCTCTTTGGCAAGTCTATTGGAATTAGTTTTGTCTTCAGACAGAGGCGACAAAATGGTAAATACATAGCGGCTGCAGAACAACTTACCCCATGATCTTTCCAAAGCCATTCTTGTCCGTCGGTTTCGGTCCAAGCAGTCGTAGAGCAAGGTCTGATGTGAAAATTCGTTGAAGAGGCGGAATATCAGTGAAGAATTGTAAGATATCTATGGCCAGATTCGACATAGCAACCAGTCCGAAGACGTCTGAGTCTGTCCGAAGAAGCCCAAGGGGTTGTCCAAAGGACATCCTCGAGCGAGCATCCATGGCATAGTAGTGCGCGAGTCGGCCAAAGTCTACAGGCGTTTGCTCCAAGAGTTTTGGAGTATCTGCGTTCCCTGGCCCCTGCGGGTGATGCTTGCTGGCGTAGCTCTTTCTAATTAAGCTTACCAAGTCTGCTATTCCAGAGTCGATGCTAGTTTCCAACCCAGCAATGTCCTTACCCATGTACCCAGGTTGCAACTTTGTCCTCAGGGCATGATGAACAGACTTATCGAGTACACTGCCCATCATGTCGTGGTATGGGTCTAGACGCGTGGCTTTGTACCAACTGCTTCGTCCATACGTCGACTTGGCCGCCGACATGCGTCTGATGAGTTCTGTATCGGATGTGATCAGGTCGTTGGGGCCTATGCGGACAAGCTCGCCATATTTGGTCGACAGTTTGTAGTACTCATAGTACCCATGAGAGCCACGAGTACGGACCCGAAACATTGTCCAATAAGATAGGGAAGAAATGAAAGGGCCAGGGATATGCGATAAACGAGCCCATAATCCCAATGTCGTAGTGAGCAAGTACACGACAACTATGAGACCCAGAAATTGGGCAAGAGGCGTCCAGGACAACGCAACTGCGGACTGATACAGTAGAGAAGGCATTTTGTCTTCATGTCAGAGGACAGCTTGGAATTCGAAGTGGACAGGCTTTCTGCAAGGGATTGCAGAGTTTAGGCATCTCTTTTGAAGTCTCTTTAGAGGAGACAGAAAAATCAATAATTCAAATCCGTTTTGGTACCCCTTGTAGGTCTGTACCCATGAGAATATTGAGGGAGTGGATCATGATTGTCCGGGGCTAGACCAGCTTACGCCGAGCTAGCGTGCTGCGTCGCTGACCGTCAGCTCGCACAGAGAACCTATGATAAGAGGAGCTGAAGACTATAAGTGTGATGAGATGCATGATACCTTCCTTCCGGATTCCGAAATGTAAGGTAGAAACTTGAGGCAGCCAACATATCTCTTTGCGGCGGTGAAGAGGTAGGGTCCATTACATGCAAGTACCTTAGATGTACAAATATTCAAGCTGCATGACTCGGGCCTTGCTCTTCAACGGTAAAGACTTCAAAAAGAGACGGTGGGCCTTGTCCCTTACAGACTCGAATTTCAGGCAGCAACAGAAACCCCGTTGAGCAACTTTCACCCAACTGAAATAATATGCTTCAATCTCCGTTGGCAGTCCGCACTGAGGTCCCTGAACCACTTGATCAGGATCTTCGACAAACACTGTCATGTCTCATTCCAACATTCTTGAATGCCATCAATTACGTCTCACCACCCGAAGTCGATAAGAAAGCATTGAGGATAGCTCTGCTCGATAGAGCGCTCCAAAGCGGTGTTCATCTCGAAATACAGATCCACATTGGTCTCTTCACATGGTTCGGATTCATCATTGATGACATGAACGTCGAGCTGGGACTGGACTTGGAGCAATTCCAGACACGGCTTCTTATGGGAGAACGGCAACCCTCGGCACTTTTACAGGCTTTTGCCGACGTGCTCAAGTCAACGAAAAGGTATTACGATCCCGTTGTTGCCAACTTGATCGTTCTCTCTGCTCTAGCCTTTGTCAACTCAAACGCCATGGAGATTCGTCCCCAGTACCAGACAATCGTCTTGTCAAAAGAGACAGTCAGCTGGCCCTACTACTTTCGAGACAAAGAGGGCCTTCCAGAAGTGTACACCTACTTCTGCTTCTACAAGGAGATGTGCCCAGATATTGCATGCTTCCTGCCAGCTGCGCCCGAGATGGGCAAGTTTATCAACTTGACCAATGACATACTGTCGTGAGTTCTCGAATCTAGCCTCGCGTTACTGCGTGTGAGTGTAGGCCTTTAACATGTGACCTGTAGGTTTTACAAAGAGGAAAAGGCAGGTGAAGTCAGGAACTACATTCACAAACAAGCTTTAAGCTTAAACCAAAGTCCCTTGTCTATACTAGAATCCGTCATTCTGGAAACTGTGGTTGCGTACAACCGCTCCCGGGCAATTCTGAAGAACAGCCATCCGTACGAGGGCATATGGCACGCCTACGCCATGGGTTATGTCGCTATGCACTTGAACACCCGCCGCTACTACCTTTCCGAAATAGTTCTGTAGACTTCTCTTTCACCCACTATACAGTCTTGGTACTGAAAAAACGACGCTAAAAAGAGAACCACAAATCTTGTCGGGATGTGCCCCACGAATGACATTCAGAAGAACTTTGTACACTTGAGTCCGGCCACCGTGGTCCAGTAGGGGTTTGACACCGAGTTGACTTACGGGAGTTCGGCTCTTACAGGATCCCGATCGAAGCCGCCCTGCGCCCCTGCAGCCCGCTTCCATGTCGAGACCGGGACCGAAAGCGGTGCCTGCGTTGGGTCGCAATCGGGTTCCTCGCCCACCATCCGAACGACAGATAACGTCGCAAGAAACGTTATGTTGGTTCATCTGCTATTGTTATCGAGGGCGCCTGTCTTGGCACACTTGCGTGATACGTGATTTGACTTTTAAAAGCTTGGTAGTCGACGGTTCCAAGGGAGACGGTGATGTCTGAAGAGATTTGACGGGCGAGGCTGACGTGCAAATGTGATTAATGTATGCAATGTCCACACACACACTATGATGTGCGTTCACTTTCAGAACCTCATATCTGGACCATGGCAAATCAACTTCTTCCACCACTATAGACTTGCCAAGGGCTGATCCGGCCCGTCCCCGTTTTCAAACTAGTTGACCTCAGGGCATTGGCTGGTTGTACCTCGTTGTACTGGTTCCTTAAAGGGGGAAAGTCTGACGCGGAAATCGACCACGAAATCCTACGCGGCTCTCGATAAAAGCGTGTTTGGCGGTAGGCCTGGGTGTGAAGACTGGCCACAGTTACGGAACCATGTCGATAGACCAGAGTCTCAGTCGACATTTATGAAGATATGGTTTGAATTGAGTAGTTTTGGGTGGTGACATTTAACACCGTGACCCCTCGGACCTGGTCTCTATCCCTTGGGGGATACTCTTCCAAGAGGATACATGCGCCAACCCCAATGCCGTAAATATTTGTACACTATTACACATCCTTTATACACTCTCAACTCCATGCAGCTTACAGCATCTCGGCAAAGCAAAGAACGCAAGCGGTCCAGGCCCTCAAGCCAACCCGACGCCTCTCAGGGCCCTCATCTTGACGCCCTCCCAGCTATTCAGCTTCGGCCTCACGTCCAAGTAAAAGCTGGGCTTGCCGCGGGCGTCGGGGCGTCCGGCGTAAAAGTCAATGACGTACTCGACCTGCACGCCGCAGCGGTCGACGACCCAGTCGTGGCGGTCAAAGGGCGGGGTGTAGCCCAGCAGGGTGTTTACGCGCGCCTTGGGGGACATGTTTGTGCTGAGGCCGAGGAAGGAGTGGAGTTTGGGGCCGTCGCAGCTGTTGACTTTTGTGTTAGCTTTCTATGCATTTACATGGTAAATGAATGGCAGGATCGAATCCAAAATAAGGGGAAGATGGGGGAAACGTACGCTGTGCCTTCGAGGTAAGGCGCCTCCCATTCTTTAATCTCCTTCCACGCCCTCTCGTTGACGGCGTTGTGGATCGGCACCACTGTTGCCATGTCTTGTGCGCGGGTATCGTGGCCCTTGCGCTTCATCGCGTCAAAGAACATCTTTTGGGAAGGGTAGATCCAGTTCCCCGTCGCCTCATCGGAGCCCGTCTCCTGTTCGTGGTTGGAGGGGCGGCTGGTGCCTGGGTACGCTGAGGTTGCTGTCCGGGGGATCGTCGAGACTTCGCGGTCGGTGTCGAGGCCTGATTTGACGGCTGTTGCGGAGGGTGGGATTTTCGATGCGTCTGTTTGTATGGGTGCTGCGGAGGAGGTGAAGGGGATGTAGGACTTTAGGGACTGTGTCCATGATTGCGAGGGCTGTGATGATGATGGCGCGGCCGCGAGTGTTTGGTGGGGGTTTGTGTGTAGGTCAGCGGGGTGTGGTGGGTGAGGATTTGACGAGGCGTTCGCGGCGGAGGCGGCGCGGGCTTGTTCGAGCCAGGCTTCGCGGGACTTGTGGTCTACGGGACAGACTTCGGCGGCGGCGTCGGCGGGGCCGGAGGGAGGTTGTGTCGCGGAGGCATTCGTGCCCGTTGGGGGCGGCGGGGCCGAGGAAGAGGAGAAGGGCGTCAGAGATAGCAGGGACTGCGTCCAGGATGAAGACTGCGCATGCTGCGACTGTGGTGACCCCGCCTGGGTCGGGGGTATCGGGTGCGGCGGGTGAGGAAGATGCGCTGCGTCCGGGTTCGAGGCGCGGGCGTGCTGGAGCCAGGCTTCGCGGGCTTTGTGGTCGACGGGGCACGTCTCGGGTGCCGCGCCGTTGCTGGAGTCTGACATTGTGTGGCGAGGGTGGTCTTCGTAGTCGATTGCGACGGAGGAGGATAAGGTAGCTGAGGGTTGGAAGCGGGTTAGGAAGACGAGGTCTACGAGATCGGCGTTCATTTTGGAGGGTCGATATGTGGTTGAGTAGAGATTGCAAGGTTCATACCAGTCAGAGATATCCAGGAATCAAAGTCCTCAAAGTCAAGGGATTCGACTCTTTTGAACCCCTCGATGGGTTTGGCGGCGTGACGGGTAACCAGATGCGGGAGGGGGGCCTAGATCCAGAACCCGGGGATAGGGTTGCACTGGTGTTTCTTTCTTTGTTTGTCTAGATCTTGGGGCGTCGTAGTCGGGAGGGGTCTTGCGACGGGAATCGCATTGGATCTTTGCGTTGGCGCAGTGTAGGGAGAGGGCGCGTGGGTTTCGTTGGTTCTTGGCTGGTTTCGTGATGGGGGTTGCTTCACGTTTTCGCGACGAACGGGATGCAACAACTTTTTTGGTGGAGCTTTCTCTTGTGTTCTTCCATGCGCATCTGTTAATTTTTATTTTGGGATGATGTGATTGACGTCTTTTGATTGGGCAGTTTGTTGATGGACATGCCTGTCGGGTGCTGCCGATGACGCCGGGATGGCCAAGGTCCACGGAAAGCTCTGGCAGATTGATGTGTCAGCGAAATCCCGAACTGCTGGATCCCATGATCCGATGTTGCACCGTCACCTGTGGCTCAAGCTACTACTGTGTGGCTGGTGCGTCCACCTGGATCAGTCGAGGTTTGGCGATGCTATTTCACCTCACTTGGAAGGGCTTTAGTGCTTACTGCCACGTGATATCCGATACCTCACTTCTTGTTGACTTGGGATCGCATTGCTATTTGGACACTGTCTGACTTTAAAAAGAGCAACAGAGCTTCCACTTGTCGCATCGCATCTCAAAGCTTCCTATAGTTAAATGCCTTGTGCAAAGCCCAGACTGTAGCAAACATGTCTCGACAATTCAGACTCTCTCATCTATTTCCACTATTCGTTGCCATTGCCCATACCATGGGCGGAATCGTTCCCTTCGTCGCCAAAGACGCTGGAATCCGCTCCTTCGGTCTGCCGGAGAGATTCGCAGAGTCAACTATAGCGCAGTCATGCTTCATCCTCGATGGCGCCCGACTTTCTGTGCTAGGGATGGTTCAGCTAATCATGTATCTTCGCGGAGACTATGCGGCAGTAGACATCATTATGGCTCTTTTGGTGTATGTTGGGCTCGTTGATGGGTACGTATGCTGGCGGGAGGGCGAGCTGGGATCAGCTGTGTTTAGAGCTACGTCGGGGATGGCCATTGGGGCATGGGGTATATTGGGGTTGACGTCCAAGCTGTGAATGCTTGGAAGTTGCTTAAAGACATGGACAAAACTTAGATGCATTTACCGCGTAAGTATTGGCGAGGATGATCTTCCCTCAAGGATTGACCAGGTTCTACTGAAGTATAGAGGTGCGTTCGATCCTGTAGATGTTCATAGTCATGTTTCGGCGCGTCTAGTGTTTCTATCAACTGGGCATCTTGTGAAGACTATAAGAATCTCAGAGCCGAATTAGCGGCGAAGTAGTACTTGATCTCACCAAGATTCGCGTTATCATTGTACATCTCAACCCGCTCGGGTGCCGTTCTGCACAGACCAGCAGCCGACGTCAAGCCTCGGACCCAGGACATTGCAAAATTGGTGGCTGAGGCTCCAAGCTCGGGTGACGCTGGCAAGTCGGCTACTTCGGGAATTGACGGAAGTGGGTAGCTCAAACCTCAAGGAAACAATCGGATGATTTTTGGGGGTAAAAAACGTCCAAGCTATGCTTTTTGCTGCTCAACTTGGATGCCTAGGTATAATAGCTGCATATTAAAGAAACGAAGCCAACAGCTTTACCCATGGGCCAAGGGAAATCAAACGTGGCACGATTTCTCCAAAACGTTCTCGGAGCTACGGACGCTGGTGCGCGTTTCCCCAAGCTGCGGGAGAGCCTATCACATGCGGGCCAAGTACGCAGTAAGCCGCGTCCGCTAAGCATTGGTTCGCTGTCCCGAGAGACGGTTACATTATAGTAGCTGCAGGTGCTTTGCTATGGTTCGGAGCAGCTTCACATGGAATTTGCTTCAACGAAGCTCGGCTCGTGGGGCACATGGTCACGAAAAGTCCCGGAAAGAAGTGGTCTGGTCAAGATGTTGAAGTAAACTTGCTTTTATGCACGGGGTCTGTGGGTGTATGTGACGAGTCTCGACTATCGGTACAGGATTCTGACGTCGACGATAAAAGGAAAAGTTGAAGACTAGGTGTGGAAAAGGCCAAAAGCAAGAGACAGGTTTTGTCGCCTGCATCTGCCTGGGTGTTGAATGAACCCCAGTAAACTCCCACAGTATCCTGGTAAAGCCCCGACCTGATGGGCGGGAATTGCTTCCATCGCGATAGATATCACGAAGCCGCCATGGTGATCTCCCTTGTTAACTTTTCCCTTGCCGTTGTCACTGGTGTGTGACGAATCAATGTTGCCGACTGTTCCCGTGTCCTGCCGAAGGCCCCAATCCCGGGGGCTTTTGTGATCGACGAACCGGACGAATGGTGATTGTCCACCGTCGCTGTGGTCTCGTCGTTTCGTACTCACGTTTGTCGTCGCCTAGTTTTGTGAATCCCGCCAACTCTCCCCCGTTCTGTCTCTTCCTCGTCTCCGCCTTCGTCGCTCATTTTTCGTACTTCAGCCCGCGGATGTCATGATGATATGTCTCCTTCAACCTCACCCGATATCGTTCGTAAAGGGAGCGAGGTGAAGAGGGCGCGTTCCGTTTTCAGTGCGATGTCACGCTCAGCCGAAGAGGGCAGCGCCGCCGGACTCGACAGCCTCAATCTCAGCCATGTCGAGAGGCTGACGACGGAATCGGGCGGGGAGCTCCGAGCGGTCGAAGGCGACGCCGGAGGGAGGAACAACGGAGCCAAGCTGGTGACCGGTAGAGCCGCCTACGCCACCGCCGATGGTGCGCTGGAGGGGACCATGCTGCTGGGCGTGGTCGCGGTAGGAGCTGAAGCTGGTGTGCTTGGGGGAGGCGGAGCCGTTGCCGAAGTTGGCGGGAAGCTTGCCAGTGGGCGAGGCCGGGTGAGGGGCGGGGCTGTGGTCGATGGAAGCTGGTAAAGAGTTTTAGCATTGCGGGATAGACAGAGAGACGCGTGGAGCAGAGTTTGGGACATAGTTGACGTACAAGGAATGGAGCGGCGGCCGAGGAACTTGATGCTCGGGGTGCGCTCGGCATGGGCGGCAGCCTGGCGGAGGACTCTGGTGGCGAACATTTTGAGGGTATATAAAAGAGTCGATTGGGAAAGGGCTTGAAAGATGCGTTGGAGTGGTGATTCCGAAAGTGTCCGAAGTTCGTTCGTCGGTATGCGTGGTGGTGGACCGAAGTATGTGCAGGAGGGAAAAAGGAAGTTTGGTGGTTGAGCTCTCCTCCTCGCCTGTGATGATAAAGCTGGTGGGTGCGGTACGCGCTAGCGACGGGTATCAAGGTGGTATAAACTTTTGGGTGCCTGTGGCTTTTTGTGTGTTTGGAGGTAAATGCAATTGGGTGTCTGGCGCGTGGCAGAACTTTATCAGCAGGGGAGGAGAGCGATCTGGTCGGTTTGTTGAAGGAGGGGAGAAATGAAGAGATGAGGGAGGAGAAAAGGCCAGAACAAAAAGGCTGGTGGTGTGGAAGGCAGGCACGTCTTATTTCAGCAACCCAAGGTGAATGAATGGCATGGGGAATTTTCTTCACAGGCCGAGAGACACCGCGCCGCCTCCGCCGCCGGCCGTGCCCGCCTGCTTCTGAGGTACTTCACCATGCTGGCGGCGTTTGGCGCTCCCTCTCTCTCTCTCTTTCGTTTTTTTTTTCTTCTCGTCCATGGTTCCATTCTGTGTTACAACGCTCGGTTGGGGGTTAGCTGTGGGTTCACTGGGTTGGGTGTCGCTGCACGGCCTGCTCACTTCAGCCAGATGGGCGGCTTCGGGAGGAAAGGCGACAGGGAACGGACAGGGAGGCAGGGGATGGCAGGCCGAGCTAGCGGTGCACGCTGCATGGTGCCATGGTGGTAATGGGTGGTGGAGGTGGAGGAGAGGAGCACAAGAGCACAGGATGAGGGCTGCAAAGAGGAGGGGAATAGAGGATGGAGGGGACAGGGTGACAGTGCACCATGAATCTTGTTCATGTCTTAGCGCGCCAGCCCCGAAACCCGAGCCTCGGGCAGAGATTCCCGTCAAACAAGTCGTCGAGTTTCCAGAGACTATGAATGTGGTGTCTAGAGTTGAAAGCCCCGAGGAGACTCTCGGTTCGGCTAATGAAGAGTAGACATTGTCTCTCAAGAGTTATCACTAGAGTTAAACCGAGGGATGCAACATCATCATCCAACATCTTCATATTCATCCACATCGTCCTGCTCTGGACAGAAGTTGAAAAGGCAAATGGAGCTCCTCTAGGGCTCCTGGGTTCTTGGGTTCTTGGGCTGTCGGGTTCTCACTCACAACTCGACTCAGTGACATTCGAAATCTTACAAAGCTTCATTTCTAACAATCGTCCAATGTGCTCCTCCCCCGTTTCAGGCAATCTCCACAACCCCAAGTGTCCTGGCTACATCCTCAAGTTCCAACGTCGGACCGACCACGCCATTCCTAGACTACGTACTCCGTACCTAGACATTGGACAATGGACGCCGTCCACATCTGGGAACCCCGAACGCGTGGGAATTCCAACGTCTCCGATCTTTCTCACCCTTGTCGTCAGTCCTTGACTGGTTTTCCATTGTCGCAAGATCCTAAATGATTGACCATGGCCAGTCCAGAGACTCAGGACTTCGGAGCCTAGAGTCAACCGTGGGTAGATGAACAAATGCCCTTCTTCTCCTTCTTTCCTCCTCCGCTGTTCCGTCGTGTCGGAGTCTAGTAATTACTCTGTAAACTAGTATAGTAGGTTTAGTCCGTTCTCCGCCCTGGCCGGTGACGGGACCTCAGTGACAGGCCACCGCCGCCGCCCTCAGCCCGCCAGCCAGTCGCCATAATGCGGGACACATTGATTTTACACGTGAATTGCACCTTATCTCTGAGCTCCAGCGTCATGGCACCGGCATCGAACCATTCTTCCCCTCATCTCATCCTCCCCCCCATGCAAAAAGGCTCCATGTCCCCATCGTGCAGAGACAATAGGGACCACACACACACTAGATCCATCAAGAGTCGGATATCCGTATTCAAAATGTGAAAAACACACCGTCTCGGCTTTTTGGGATGTGTTTGCAATATCGTCTCTTGTGTGGAAAACATGTCTTGGCAGCGGCAACTTTCGCAACCAACTAACTTTCCTTGGATGTTGATGTGGCCGGTGTGAATCCCACCCGTCGAACAGACATTGTCACAACGGTAGCATCGGAAACCCAGTCTCTTTCGATCAGTGAGATACAATCTGCATTTCGGCATACCACCTAGGGCAATAAGCTCTCGAGGGCCAAGCCAATTTCGTCCGACCTTTTGTGCGAGCGAAACCGAGCTCCAGTGGTCACCCTTGAACTTCCCCAGACTCTGGCACAGGCCAAAAAAATCTGGAGATTAGACTTTTTTGGCCTACATACTCTGCAATGTCTCTCTCTTTCTCTCCCTAGGCTCCAGTGGTCTTGCCTGCTTCGGACTGTCACTATGCAGCATGCTACTTGGTACCATCCCCCAGGGCTCTCTACCGTGAGTGACAACAACTGCCGCGGCGTCCGGCGGTATCCCGCCGAGTAGTGGTCGGCGTTCGGGATTTTTAGCCTAGTGGTAATGCCTGCCTGGGAGATCACTGATCACCATCGCGCGGGGAAGAGGAAGGGGGAAGGGATGGTGATGTGATGGCCACCTATCGGCAGACTGGCAGTATTATCAATCAACTGAGAATGCCGGGGAACGGTTCGCGAGACCAATGCCACACCCGGGGGACCCGGCGATGCGCGATACCTGGGGGAACTGAACGAGCAAAACCAAGAGGACAATGTTCCTGAGCAAGGAGTACCTAATCCCTTGGCCTGTCCTCCTTCTCCTCCAAGCCTCCCGATCCCGGTCCATCCACACTAACGAAACCTCTTCAAGCCCAAAAGAGACAGGATTCACAGGAACGGAGATGGGCGCACTGCATCGAACGATTCTGCGGGCGACCGGGACACATCTTTGAGCCAGCCAGTGGGCACGAAACCGCGACCGAGACACACACTCCTCTGCTTCTCTCCAGCCAGGGGCACGCGAGCAGATTCGGCAGGACATAGAGAGAGGGTGTCCTCATCCATGAGACCTGATGCGCTCACTGCAGCGAGAAGTTTGTCTGCCGGTCGTTCACATCTGCACATCCCCCGGGCAGTTTTTGCCCAACGCGGCAAACCCTTCCACCGGATCTAAGCCATGTCCACCTCCAACCTAACTCCAGCAAGCCGGAGAAACCACAGCACAGCCAACAGTGACAGCTCAAACCCCCACGGCACGGACGATGGGATGGATGGGCAAAGATGGGGGAGGACTCAGGAGAGAGTGTTACAGCAGATGGCCGGGCCAGAGTGGACTGGCATCCCGGGCCCTGCATTGCATTGCATCAGCGCCGCTTGCGCGTGCGGCGTTGCGTTGCGCTGTACCTGTGTCTGCCTTCCCGCCGGGGTCCTGGCCGGTTTGGAAGGGCTTGGGTGGCTACCGGGCCGGCTAACGAGGTAAGACGGCGCGAATAGCGAGCCGCTGGGCACGTTTTTTTCGTGGATTTCTTCCTTTGGGCTAAAGTGACTAGTGTTCCTCTGAATCCAGCTACCTTCTCAGTCGGGTGTCTACTGTGTGTCTGGCATCTGTAGTCTCTCCTGTGGAGGAGGAGACTTTCGGCTCCGATTCCTACCATATTTCGGTCCCGTCGTTGTAGGATTCGTGATCAAGATTGTTTCTGAAATCCGACTTGTGCGCAGGGCTAGCTTTCCACCACCACGTCAGTATCAGTAATTAGTGAACCACCCGGACTTTCCACCTCTCCGTCTCCCTTCTCCGGCCGATGACGTGCTCCCGAAATGAAGACGTCTGTTCCCCCCCCTGCCTGCCGTCTTCAAGAACCGAAAACCGGGAGTCGAACCATTCCCGGCGCGAATCGCGCTGCTCAGGAAGAAACGTGGGATTGCCACTCACTATATCCGCAGCACTGTAGTCTGTAGCGACCCTTCCGATCCCGGTTGTAGACGGACCGGAGGGTGGACGTCTACCATGGTGGTCCGATAACGGCGGCGCGGCTATGGTTGTGCTGGAATAAGTTGGTTTCCAAGGCGGGAGCGCGGAGCCCCCCAAAATTTGCTGCGGCGATTCGTGCGGCTAGGAAAGAATTCTTAGGTCCGCCTCAGCCCTCAAGAGCTACCTACCTTAGGAAACACGGGAGTCCCCTGTCGCGCTTCGGGCTGCCTTTCCCTTTTTCACTCTCTTTCATACTGGCCCAAATTGGGCTGACCACGACGTTGATCGGATCCGAATCGATCGACATGTCCGTTCCGGGATTGACGTTCTTGTCTCGGGATCTGCTTCCCGTAATGTCGCTGCCGCTGTTTCGAGTTGGGCTTCTTCGTCCATATTCGGCATTGTCTTCCTTGTATCCCAAGGATACGTCACTGGCGTTGCTACAAAGACCCAGCCTGTCACGACTGCTCCGTATTAAGTGGAAGATTTTACTGCAGATGTACAACCACGCCGGGTTCCTCACAACCGTGGCCCAGGTCATCTCAACAACAGATGTAATGTAGAAGAGGTGGCTAAGTTGCAGGCAATGATGTGATGTACAAGGCCGATGTTGAGTTTGTTTCTGGCGATGAAGTCAAGAACTAACCCTGGCCATCACTAAACTATCTGTCTAGCTAAGTCTTCTAAACAGTGGCGCAAGTTTTGTGATACAACGGTGCCAGGAAGCTCGAGTCGACCGATGGGCTGGGAACCTGCATCATCCAAGAGCGGCATCGTGACTCGGGGTTAGCTAAGGTACCAGAGGCCTCGCTGAGAGTTGCGTCTTGATGCCTGAGACAGGGAAACGGGATCGCTATGAGCTAGCAAAGGTGTGGCAAGTACAGTTGGGCCATTTCCGAGTCAAATGTGGCTCTGAAAGACTCATTATCTCTACCTTAATTGAGACTGCATGTATAGAAGTGGGTTGATATCACTCTAGCTTATTCAAGCTGGAAAAAAAAAAGAACGAGGAAGGCTCAATTGAACGACTGAGAACGCTGAGGAAAGGCCGTGGACAACTACGAGGCCATAACGCTTGCATTCTTCTTCCCAACCCTTCGCATTCAGATGGTGAGCCCTTTGCTCGGCTAACATGGCATCACTTTCCACAAAGAGAAGGTGCAGTTTCCATCGAATTGAATTACTTTGCAAAAGTGACGGCCTCAGATCGAAAGGAGGGTCACAGGTATCATCGGCAAATCGTACATCATGAGTGTCATCCATCCCAAACGCCATATTCCTCCCTTGAGCCAACCATTGTCCCTGTGAAGTAACCGACCATTCAATTAGCTTACAGCTCTTTCTTGTCTTCGAATCCGATGCTGATACGCGGAGCAAAGGCGTCCAGGTTGACCGCATTGACATCCCAGCCCGCCTCCTCAAGTACCCTGAAGTCCAACACATCGGTGCTTTCGCCCATCTCAATCTCGTCCACGGAAATAGCGCCGAGGGCAAGCTTCTTGTTGCCAGTCTTCGACCCCAGATTTCTGTCGTGGGCAAGCATGGTGGCGTAGTACCACGCCATGAGGGTATTGATATCGTTTGCCTCCGTGGGAGAGCGGTCTCCTAGAAGCAGGATTCTGACGGTGGCGATGTCTCCTCTCTCGCAGAGGCAGAGGATGAAACCCGGGTGAGCTTTCTGACCTCCCTTCTCGGTTAACTCCTGATTGTGACCTTCCTTGTACATGGGCATGACGAAGCGGACGCGGGCGCTCTTGAGGTCCGCAGTCATGGCATGGGCATAGCTCTTGGCGAAGCCAATCTTGGTAATCACCTCTCCGCGATGATCCTTGACGGCGGGGGTCCAGAAGACAATGCTCTCGCGCGCGGCGACCTGGGCGGGGGAAAGCACGCGCTTCGTCTGCAGGTAGTGCTTGAAGAGGATTGTGGCGCGTTGCTGGTTGAGGACGTTGAGCTGGACGCAGCGGACACCAAGGTAATTCATGCCGAGATGAACAAAGACGAGCGTGACCATGAGCGCAAAGACTGCCTCCCTACTCTCGACATAGCGCACAACGATAGAGCCTACAAGCAGACCGACAAGGCCGACAGCGGTCTCCTGTGATGACTCCTTTGCGTTGAGCTCACTGAGGTTGTTGCGGCGGGCAAAGTGCTTGGAGAGAGCGGCCTTGCTGGCGCCGGCAGCAACACCGCACATTGCGCGGAGAGCTTCTGCTAGCACGAGGGCGAGGACCTTGGTCCACGGGTCAAAGTAGGGGCTGAAGAGGTCGAGGAAGAAGGCGCTATCGTTGAAGATATCAGCGAGGTAGCGGTATCTCTTGCACTCTGGCTCGATGACCAGGCCGAAGCGGTAGGCGAAGACAATTGTAGCGACGCGGGAGATGCCATCCTTGAGGATTGTTAGGAGCAGGGCATAGGTGGCGGACGAGGACGCGTCGCCGACACCTAGGCCTTGGAGGATGGCGCGATTGGCGAGGAGGCCAGTGATCGTGGAGAAGAAGGCCTGGAGGGAATCGAAGGTCTGGTAGCCAGTGTAATCGGGAGTCACCGATTCCGGATAGCCGATTGGCAAGAATGCGTCGTAGAGAATCTGACGCATGTTGGCGAGCCCGGCTGTCGTTGAGGTTGTGAGGGCGGTGGTGAGAGTCGGGATGGTGTTTTGGTGAGACGGGCGCACTTGTGTTATTTCTTGCAACTCGGTGTTGTGCAGCCAGCGGTGGGTGATTCTTCCGGTTCCATCTCTTTCCTCAATGAGAATTTCTTTCTTCTCTGATCCTTCCATTTTTCCCCCCGTAGTTTGTTGTTCGCTTGAGAAGGCAGGCAGAAGGATGTCCAAGGAAGGAGCGATGTGGCAGGAAGGTCGGAGTGAGGTTGAATGGGAAAAGTGGGTCCAATATTGAAGGTGTTGCAAATTGAAGAACATCACCGTGTTGCCCGGAGATACATTAGTCAACAACCTCTCCAACATGAGGTATCGAATTTGGAGACGTGTTTTCTCGACTTCATAGTCACGCTGCCGCTATTACTTGTTTGCATTGCCTACCTTGTCCATGCTCAGTAGCTCCGGCGTGCTATATGGCTGACATGCTTAAGGCTACTAAGAAGGAGTAATCATGATGCATGTTCACCCTTAGCTGTGCTTGACTGGTGGATTCATTGATACTAGCAGTAAATTCGAATTGGTATTTGATTAAGTGTTTCTATACGCACAAAGAGGACTTTTGAGCAACTTGAAGCTTGTTTAGATGGGCCGCCAAAAATGCACTGGACAGATTACGCCTTGATCGGCTCGCCGTTCTCACTAACAAGGTAAATGTCCGACTTGATCGGGCCCTCGCCAACGCCGGTCTGGATGACACGGCTAACGCCGCTCTGGATAATACCAGCGACAGTCTCGTCCAGGGTCACGGAGGACTTGAGATCCTTGGCGCCCTCCTTCCATCCACCGACGGATCCAAGGATAGGGGAGAAAGCACCGACGACAGCGGCGGTGTTCTCCTCAAGGTAGTAGATGACGGCGTTCGGGCCGGCGTCGAAGGTGTACGCGGCAACAGTCTTTCCAGCAGCGGCGTTGATCTGCTCCACGGCGCGAATAGCGGCACGCGAGACGTCGTTCATGTAAAAGATGGGAGGGTAGGTATCCGCGCACGAGGAGTGGAACGAGTTGGAGTCGCGCATGGTGACTTCGGCAAACTTCTCAAAGTCACGCTTGGCGATAGCCTCCTCCATCTCGCCCATGTGCTTCGGCACGACCTCAGCAACGCGCTGCTTGAACAGGCCCGACGTCGCGACCGTCTGCTGCATGCCCGAAGTTGACGAGACGCCCTTCTTGGCCGCGCTGACAACCAGGATCAGGGCGCGCATGTCAGGCCAGTGCGACGCCTCGGCGACGAGGTCAGCCTTGGAATCCGTGCCGTCGGCTTTGTCGCCCATTCTCCACGCGACGTATCCGCCAAACAGACTGCGGCATGCGGAGCCGGAACCTTGTCTCGCGATGAGGGACAGCTCGGAGGGGGACTCGGGGAGTTCGTAGAGATCGGCGATGGCGCGGACGAGGGCAGCGAAGCCTGCGGCTGAGGAGGCGAGTCCGGCGGCGGTGGGGAAGTTGTTCTCGGTGACGATCTTCAGGGGCAGCTTGGAGAGCTTCGGGAGGGAGGGGGTCTGCTCCTCGAGGGCAGCGCGGCGGGCGCGCAGCTCGCGGAAGCAGGCCTGTGTGCGGGCACCCGAGACATCGGAGGCTTCGCCGTTGAGGATGAGGTTATCGCCTTCGGGGTAGGAGGCGGAGCAGGATGCAGTCGTCAGGGTTCGCAGGTCGGCTTGAGAGAGGGTGACGGAGAGGGAGCTGTTGGTGGGGAGGTTGAGCTTCGGGTCGCGCTTGCCCCAGTACCTATGTTTGTTAGTATTGACACATTTTGTAGCTAGGCTTGTAGTTCGGTAGTACATACTTGACAACGGCAATGTTGACAGGCGCCGTGGTGCTGGCGCGATAGACCTTGTTGTTGTCCGACATATTGCAATCGAGTTTGCGGTCTGCTGGAGGCGGTCAATGGAAATTCAAGGCGGGGCGAATTAGATGAGGTGATACTAGGATGAATTTGGGATGAATGGGGTTGCTACATACCTTTGGGGGGAAAAGAATAAAGATTTGGGTATCACAAAGAAGAATCAGTACTTGGAACTGTGGTCAAATGCTGGAGGTCCGAATCTCTACGGACAAGAACACTGGGATGAAGTTGGTGAAGCCGGACAAGGAGTGACTTGGCGGGGTTGCGAAGCTCGTCCCCCTCACAAAACAACAGGCGAACAATAGCATCAATTTCCAGGATGGGTTTACATACGATCTTTGCCTGAAAAAGCTTAGTGCGGGGTCCTCAGGGGAAACGGCGCTTGGACCCTGTCAAGAGTACGTACTCTGCAGTGAATGTCTGATGGAGCTTCATCTTCACTTCACCCATTCACTTAACAACTTGGCAACACACATTCACTTTGTTCAGCTTATTCATGGACAACTCATCGTATGTGAGGGGAAATAATTATGATTGTGCATCTATGAGCACCAAGTTCGTAATGGCTTCAAGCGCAGGACGCTATGTTACGGTCCAAAACTCCAAGCGATCCCAATCGCTTAATGCCAACCCTCCCCCCTTCCCCCCCCAAACTAATCATCCAATCGTGTCTCATTGCTCATATCTCGTATGCTCATCGTAATATCCTGAGACCGAGTTCCATAGTCACCAAGAGTTGTAGGACTTGAGCGCCTGGCGTTGTCCCTGTGTTGTTTATCCTTCCAAGCAGGCCAAAGTCAAGCCCTCTGCACATCTTCCTTCATTTCATCTTAGTCCAGGAGCTCAGGAGGAATGTTCTCCTTGTTCTTCTCCTGTTCCTCTTCGTCGTAGAACCAGATGCTTTGAGCGACGGTATTGATGGCTTCAATAGCACGAAGGAGAAAAGAATAATCGAAGGTTTGGCCACCTGCAATTGCAATTTGGTCAACTTCGTAGGCAGTCTCCGGCAGCTCTACGTTCGGCATATTCTCGTCGACGCTGATGCCGTGATGCAAAAGCTCTTGACGGCGTATATCAAGCAGCCGCACGATGTGGCGAAGAACCTGTCGGTCTTCGTAAATGAGGGGATCGTTGAGTTGGTCGATGGCTGCATCCATTGAGACATTCCGAGCGGAGCGTTGGATTTGCTCAGTAGTGAGGTACCGGCCTTCGGTGGCCTGATCAGGATCGGGATGAAGAAGATGAAGGACTTCAAAGAGTCTCTCTTCGGCAAATGCATGCTCTCTGGTGACGGTGACGGGTACTCGACCGTAGTCTCTGTTGTGGTCGATTGCTCTGCCCATGATGTTGGGAGATCGCTCCTGGAGGACGCCAACTGTTCCTTGAAGTTCTGGGACTGTGACTCTCGTTCCGTCTTCGAAACGGACGTCTATGTCGCCGTTAGCTGGACGGAATCTCTCTTGGGAACCATCATCAAAGACTGTCAAGTCGTCTCTACTAGTAGATTGTTGCTCCTCAGGGTTGGCGTTTTCTTGGCTGAGAACAGTGACACTTTTCAGCGACATGCGACTGAGACTGGCTGTGATTCTGTTCTGAGCCTTTGAGACAGAGAAGAGAGTAAACCCGATAGAAGCCATTTTTGTTGCTGTAGTAAAACTCAAGGTGGGTTGTAAAGAGAAGAGAGCCTCAGCCACGACTAATCTTGGACCCTTTTGTAGAGGAGTTAGAGATTCAAGACAAGGAAAGTGGAAGTAGAGAGTGAGTGAATCGCGGCAGTTATCAACAGATAATGGGGTGAAATGCAGAGAGTGGTTGTATTTGTGTAAGGTGAACTTGCCGATGAAAAGAGCAAGAAGTAGGGAATGGAGTGGCTTTATATAAGAGAAGGATTGAAAATTCGAGAGGGTAGGGCGAGACTGAATAGAGTTGTGGTACTTAACCTTTTCGAGCCCTTGATATCGGAGATAGCAGTTGACGACCTAAAGACAGTAACATCGTGAGAACCGAGATGGACCGCTACTGTAAATTCACATAATTTTGAACTTGTCAAGGCTCATCAAGGGTAGCTACACGGTGCGAGGTACCAAGATCTAGTCATGTGGTCTACATCAGGTGCCTCTTGCTGTGACGTTTCGTCCTAGGAAGAAAAAAGTCTTCAGCCACGGCGCGTTTCGACCGGGGTTTTCTAGAAGTATCGTGGGTGCCTCTAAGGCATCGCTGATAAATAGCTGGGAAGCCACACACCAATTCGGTGCCGCATCCTTCTGGCGAGGGCGGGGCAGATAAGACACAGTGAGGACTTTCACAAAGAACAGTTGCTATGATTCATCTCCACGGATGGAGAGGGCCATAATGGGTAGTCAAAGTCGTGGTTCATCTGCGTATCTTGTTGATAAAGCACAACAATCATATTGTAAATCAAATTAGATCTTTCAGAACAGTTCGAGCGAATAGAGTCGCTGATAGGTTGGCTTTTGGCCAGGCTTGAAACTAGAAAATATGGTATACATGATGATAAAATCAGTCTTAGGCAAAGGGCTAGGGAAGACGAAACATAGATCTCACAGAGAATCGTTGAAGACGACTCTGTTAAAGCTACTAGAAATGAAAACCCACTATATCAGAGAAAGAGCCCGGAGGCATCACCCCTTATCCAGGTAAAGATCCTGATCATGATCAATCTTCCCGTACGAAAGAAAGGGAATCAGGTCCTCTTTCCCGAGCAGCTTCGACCCATACCTCATTCACACCACCAGAAACGCGGACCTTCTCCTGGGCCTCCTCATCCAGGATAGGTACTCGAACATGAGGCAACTGAATGCGTTTGGCCTCTTCTGTTCCCTCGCTGTGCATTGTCGCGTTCTTCAAGCAATCAGTGCCAACCAGCTTCTTTCCTTCCATTGTTAAAGGGGATCCAGAACACAGGCTTGTATGCGTACCGGCTAACCCGAAAACCGACTATAATTTCATCCACCTCGAATTCAAGACTGTGCTTGTATTCAGAACTTCCGCCTCCATTGGTCCCAAGCATGGTTCCATGATGATCTAGAGTAAGTCCCAAATTGGGACCCCATATGTGGTCACGATGTTCCCACTTAAACAAGATATAAGAAGAAACTTGCACTCAACGGTTATGAGTCACCTTAGATAGCCTAGAGAACTCGAAGGCGTCGCAGTCATTGCCGGTCTTGCCGCCTATGCCCGTTCTCCTATTCCTGAAGACTTGAACATGGAAATGTCATCTGGCCGCTATCATGTGTGACTGAGTAGAAAAAAAAGGGGGAAAAAATCATCAAACTCCTTAACCGTGCATTTCACCCACCACCTCATGCGCCGGCGTCTTTATGGTCTTCTTTTCTAAACCCAGCTTGCCTTACTCTGTGGAATTCAGCACGGAAGCTGTCTGGATAAGAAGTGCCGTTCGATGCGATCATGGATCTTTTCAACCTACGAGCCACTTACTAGGTAATATGTAGCCCGAGATATTTCCAGGAGGTAATGAACCATGGAGATCTGATCGAGCATTCTATCACACTGGAGGAAGCCGGCAAGGACGTTGTTATCGGCCCCGCTGTTTCTCCGAGTAGAGCCGGGGCCCCACGCCCACGGACACCCGTCGCACAACAAAGGCTGAAGAAACCAAGGTACAGCACGATGCAGGAGGCATCGACGATGGAAAGCGGACAATTCCGCATGCCTTGCGGGATGGTCAGGGCGATTTTCCCAAAGACGAAAAACGCCACATCGGCAGGCGACGTTGATGGTGGGGCTCGACCTCCTCGAACCATTGAACACCGTGCTCGAATCCCGGCTACGGATTGGCTCCCCGATTCAACGACGCCAAGCATCTATCATCAGCTTCGCAGCTCCCTTTCTGCCCATTTCCAACGTGCCGCGTTCACTTTTGCAGCTTGTCTATACAGAGGTTCAGCATATTCGCCCTGGCCTGATGCCATGTCGTTTCTCAAGATACCGAACGACCAGAAATGGAACTCGTGGGGGCCTGATCACCTGCATATTCATCGGTGTCCACAGCGAGCTGCGTTTCGAGCATTCATTTCGTCGCATCCGCAAGCTCCGGCCGTCTCAAACCCCTGGACCACTATCTCGAGGATGGTGGTTGAGCAGAGGCCCCCCAGGGATCTCCATCTGCCCTGTCATTGACGTCTCCCCCGCCTCGTGGTCCAGCCCTGGGACAGGAAAGCCTCGGCCACAGTCGACGAAAGACTGCTGGGCGAAGTCTGCATCCCCAACGAAACCTGGAAGCTACTAACTACACATATGGTACCTCTGCAAGCTCATCCTGCAACAGGCCAGGCACACAACTTATGCCCCAGCCCCCGTGTCGACGCGAGAGGGCCGCAGCTACGGACCCAGTCCCGTTTCGATCTCGGCTTACAAGTTACGGCAAGGTGAACCCATGGGCCATAAAACCACCCCACCCAGACCCCCAGAACGACATGATCACCATGATGATCGATCAACGTCCACTCTCTATCCCTCTTCCACCCGCGAGCAATCGTTTTGTGTTGAAACGGCGTCGACACCTATTGAGCTGTCAAGCCAAGCATTACCCATCGTTGGGCATGAGATCGAATTAGCACATCATGTCTGCAGGACTTGGGCTCTGCCGAAGACCCCGGAGCCAACGAAAACATCAGATCAGCCCTTTGAATCCTTGGACTCGAGAAGAGCTTGAGTCCGAGTGAATAGTCAAGGCCGTTCCTATAAGTGGACGTATGGCCAAAGCCGGGCGAGCTATCATGGCCGCCGCACTGCATCAATACGACTACATCTTCGCCATCACCACCATCTTCTCCTTTCTCGATGCGTGGAACATTGGTATGTCTCACTTGTCTGTACTGGAATAGACCTGCTGTAGAACTCAATGGGGCTGCCCATAGACACACGGCTGACCATATAAACCCCAGGTGCAAACGACGTCGCGAATTCCTTCGCGACTTCGGTCTCCTCCCGCTCCCTCACAATGAAACAAGCCATGGCCATCGCTGCCGTCGCCGAGTTCTCCGGCTCCGTAGCCGTTGGTTCGCGCGTTACAGACACCCTCCGAAACAAAATCATAGATCCGCACCTCTACGCTGCCCGACCAAGCGTCCTCTTGCTCGTCATGATGTGCGCCATCTTCGGTTCCTCCGTCTTTCTTAGCATCGCCACACGTAACGGGCTGCCTGTGAGCACGACGCACTCAATCATTGGCGGGCTCGTCGGCGCTGCGACGGCGAGTGTGGGTATCTCGAAAGTTAGTTGGGGATGGGACGGAGTGTCCCAGGTGTTTGCGGCGTGGGTTATTGCGCCGGGATTGAGCGGGGCGCTCGGAGCCTTGATATTCCTCGTGACGAAGAGGTTTGTCTTGACAAAGGCGAATGCTGTGCGCAATGCCTTCTTTACGATTCCGTTTTACACCTTCCTGACGTTTGGCTCGTTGACGAGTGAGTCCTCGCATCTCATTCCCCTCCCGGTATTGCAGGAGGGTAGATATGATTGCCCAAGGCCGAGACTGACACGTCGAACAGTGCTCGTGGCTTGGAAAGGCGTCCAGCTCCAAGTCGAACTTACAGCAACCCAAGTCCTCATCGCAGTCTTCTCCGTCGCCACCGGCGCGACGCTCCTCCAAGCCTTCTTCCTCCTGCCGTACCTCTGGCGCAAGATCGTCAACGAGGACTGGGAGCTGACATGGCTAATGATGTGGAAGGGCCCCTGGCTCCTTAACCGGCCCCCGCCGCCTCTGCCTCCGGCCGGAGTGCGGAGGGCCAACATCAAGGATTACTACCGCGGCCACCTCACCGCCGACGAGCTCGCCTACATGAGGGCCTCGGAAACCCTCCTCGAATCAATACAAAGCAGCCAAACGCCCTCAGACCTCTTCAAAGACGACCAACCCATCCTATCCCCGGCCGTTCTCGAACCTCCGCAGACCCCAGCCACATCAACAACATCAGCCTCCACAGTCACAGACAGCCGCCGACCCTCCTCGTCCTCCTCCACGTCCACCTCAGAACACATCCCGCCCCGCCCGCGAG